GACGCCTTCGGGAAAAAGCACGCAAGTTTATCTCGACCTTCAGGGCTTCGTTGTCGTCATCGCGGTTTTGGGAATTCGGTGAGCTGCATATTGGGGGGGGCGTGGCAAAAGAAGAAAAGTACAAAGTGTCTCTCGACTTGGGGCTTTGTTCGTCATCGGGTCCGGAGAAATGCGGTGAAGTATGTCGAGCATTAGAGCAAACGCTTCTGGAAGAGTTGTCTTAAGGACCATGCTGCCTTAGGGATTTCTTGTTCGGGACCTTTCAATTGCCTTCCCCGTGCCTCTCGAGCTCTTGTTGCAACTCGAGCTCTTGTTGGAACAATAATGGAGGCTTCATTTCCCATTCTGGGACAATTGCTTTGTTAAAGTGCGTGGGCACCGGTGTCGATCTTGACCCCAACCCGTCCCCAACCGAGCGCTCCAGTAGCATTTGCAAGCCCTTCCCGCGCGCTAAACACCCAAACCCCCCCTGCAAGCTCCCAAGACATCTTAGGACCCTCGAAGCTGACGTCACCGCAAGCTTCTAAGCTGAAGGCCCCTGCGCTCCTGAGTGGATCTTTGATTCCGCTGAGGCTGTGCTGGCTACCTTGCGCAGGGAGCTCTTGCGCACGGACAAGGGTGACTGAAATTCTCATGTGATGTTTCCCACACATGGTCTCTCATGGTGCTCGTGCTCATGCAGATGCGGGGTAGACGGTAGACGTGTCCTTTTCGTGGCCGCCGATTGCCAGAAACCGTATTGACTGAGTCTGGCGGCGCTCGCTCTACTGGGCCACGTGGCCTGGCCTTCCAACCACAAGAAAACAAACATTACTTCTGAAGTTGTGTGCGAGAAGCCGGCACCGGGCGAAGATGGAAAATAACGGGAGCTTCTTCAACGCTTGCCGAAGCGGGCCTGGGCTGCCCATGTTTCAATCGCTCGTGGTTGACGGCGACTGGCTTCAAAGGCAGCATTGGCCAATGCCTCGCTGTCGCCGTTCCGGACGACTACGTTAAAAGCATTCCTCAGGTGCGGGCGCAGCAAGTGCTTGAGGAAGACAAGAACTTTTTCCGCCGCTCAGCGCACAACATTCGAGCCATCCGAATTATCGTGCTCGCGGCTCTTCAGGTACTCCTTAAATGCAGCACCGGCTTGGCCACTCAACTGGAGGTGTTGTTGAGGAAGCCATATCTGGCCGAGCTGCACGTTGGGCGGGATCTCGGCCATGCAAGTCCATGGTCGTTTGCGGTTTTCCGCAAAATCGATCGCCATGTATGCCTCTTGGATGTGATCACTCATCTTCGGTGAGCGCATAGTCAAGCCAGCTTCTTTCAGCAGCTGGTGGCACACTGCACGCACAGCCTTGATGGGATACTTCCAAGGGGCGTCAAAGCACAAGTAAGAGGCGTGCACTTGCTTGTAGGCGCCAATCGCGGCATCCCGCGCCTGAGCATCATTTCGGGCCAGCCAAGCTTTCAATTGCGCCTTTTCGGCGAAACTACAGCCAAGGCCACGGATGTCCGACTTTATGGTCAGGACGTGTGAGGGCAACGAAGTGCCAGGCGGCGTCTCACACTGTTGAGCCTGCTGAGTGACCATGGCTTTGACGGAGGCCTCTAGTTGCTGAAGTTCAGCATCACCTCAAGACAAGCAATAACCAGCTTCACCCTGTCTGTCTGCTTGTCTGCCTATCTGTCTGTCTGCCTGTCTGTTTTTTGTCTTTTTCTCTCTCTCTCTCTCTCTCTCTGAATCTCTCTCTCTCTCTCTCTCTCTCTCTCTCTCTCTCTTGTGCTCGTTTTATGGCACGCCACCTTGGCCGTCAGACGTATTCTCTAGGAAGTCCACCAGGACGGGATCCGAAGACGCACGCGTCTTGTCCCCGTCGCTGTCCCCGCCAGACAAGCCCAGGATACCAGGCGGCGAATGGACCGGGTTGGTTGGTGGAGTGGGCCTTGCTGCTGTGGATGATGGCGTTGTTGGGAATATACTGAATCCGCTCCGGCAAGCCCTTCGCGGTCCACACCTTACACTCCGGAATGTATCAACTTGCTCAGAAACACGGAACATACTTATGACCTATGACTGAAGCCAAAAGAAAAACGAGAAGTCAGTAGCTTCACCATCTATTTTGAAGCGTTGCGGCTGTTCAGCTCGGGCTATGCATCCCTGCAGCCAATGTACGGAAAATCTTTGCATCTGGCATTGCATCTTCGATAAGCCTGCCTGCATGTACCACGCAGCGTCCAGTGTCTGCCCAAGTGTTACCGGTTCGAGACTTGCAAGCAACCACCCCAAATTCCCCGTTCCGGTGTAAGACACGAAAGCTTCTTCTGAGCAGAACAGACTGTCAGAGTCGGGGAAGAACCAGGAAGAGCAGTGTTAGTCAGTCACACCAGGCAAGCAAATCTGATTGACTATGGAACACGCGAGCTTTTGCCAGGTGTAGGGCCAGTCAAAAAATAGGGCACGGCAAAAGGAATTTGAAGCAAATCAGCAAATTGCACAAACGCTTAAATGTTGCAGAAATCTCGTGAAAACTACCAAACTGGGCCAACCAGGAAAGATCGCAGAGGTTTGTACCGCTGGGGCTGGGGCTGGTTACGCGTGGCGGGACGCTTGGGGCTCGGACTGGGATTGGGGTGCAGATTCAACCAAACCAATTGCGAGCAGAAGCTCGCTCGAAGCGAGAGACTTGAAAACATCCGATTTCAATCAAATCCGCGAACCGATTCTGCGCATATGAAGAGATTGGAGGGCAGGGCGCTGCGGAGACTGGGGTGGGCAAATTCAACCAAACCCACGTGCGAGCAGAAGGATTAAACACCTTGATTGAAACTTCGCTCGAATCGAAGCTTTGAAAACATCCAATTTGACGAGATTGGATGTTAGGGCAGCCCCCTTTAAGAGGGAGTTGGTCTGGGCGCCACGCTGCGCTGGCGAACCCTAACACAACAAAAACCCTAAACCCCAACCCCCCAACCCCAACCCCCAGCCCTAAACCTTAAACCCCAAACCCCAAACCCCAAACCCCAAACCCCAACCCCCAAGCCCTAAACCCCAAACCCCAAACCCTAAACCCCAAACCCCAAACCCCAAGCCCTAAACCCTAAACCCCAAACCCCAACCCGCAAACCCTAAACCCCAAACCCCAAACCCTAAACCCCAAACCCCAAACCCCAAGCCCTAAACCCCAGCCCTAAACCCCAAACCCCAACCCGCAAACCCTAAATCCCAAACCCCAAACCCCAAGCCCTAAACCCAAGCCCTAAACCCCAAACCCCAAGCCCCTAAACCCTAAGCCCTAAACCCCAAGCCCCTAAACCCTAAAAGCCAGCCTGATCGGATCCGCCACGTCGAGGACGCCCCGTCGCACGAAGACTAAGACGGTGGAGCCTCCGAAGGCCTCCCAGAAGGACAGCTTAGGGTTCAGGGTTCCTTTGAAGGGATCTATAGGGTCCCTTTAAAGGGATCTATAAGGTTTTGAGTTTGAGGGGTTTAGGGTTTTAGGGCTTTAGGGCTTTAGGGTTCAGGGCTTTAGGGCTTTAGGGTTTTAGGGTTTAAGGTTTAGGGTTTAGGGCTTCTTAAGACTCAGAGGCTTTACAAGGCACGGTATACGGTTTTTTGTCGGGTTGCAAAACGGCTGCTCTAGTGCGGGTGTTGCTATATTCCCGACAATCTTAGAAGGGCTTCGGAAAGTTGGGTCTGGGATTTGGCTGTGAGGTTTGGGGCTAGGGGTATGCTTTGTGTTTTGAGAGGATTTGGGGTTTAGGGTTTAGGACTTGGGGACTACAAGCTGTGAGCCAGGTGTCTGCTCCAAACTAATGTGGAATCCTCAAAACCCAGCCTGGGATAGGGAAAAAACGCTTATCCGCTTGGTCCTGCCACGCTAATTCGAAAGAGTGTACCTGGGTCTACTGTTGGTAAGCAAGCAGGTAAAGCGATCCCAGTCTACCTGCTCTGAAGCCTGAAGCCCTACTTCCCAAACCTTAAACCCGACTCCTTGCATCCTAAGGCCAAGGCCTAGCCTCCAAGCCCAAAAACCGCAAAATCACCCCTAAACCCTAAACCCTAAACCCCTAAACCCTGAACCCTAAACCCAAAACCCAAAACCCTAAACCCTAAACCCCTAAACCCCTAAACCCCCCGAACCGGCCCGAACCATAAATCCCTCAACCCCAGGCTCCCGAACAATCCCGAACCGCAACAACCCTGAGCCCCTGAAGCCCTGTACCCTGAACTCAAACAACCCCAACATCCTCAACTCTAAACCCTAAACCCTAAATCCTACAACCTAAACCCTAATCCCGACACCCCACACCCTAAAACCCAAATTCCTCAACCCTAAACCCTGAACCCTAAACCCTAAATCCTACAACCTAAACCCTAAACCCTACACCCTAAACACCAAACCCCAAAGTCCTCAACCCTAAACCCTGAACCCTAAACCACCGAAAGCAAACAGACCCAGGCTGAGGCCCCCGGCCATGTAGCCGTGCTCCATGCCACGAAGGACTTCCTGCCCCAACCCGGGAACCCGACCTGCCCCCGAATTCGAAACCAGAGGCTGACTGCTACGATTTCCAAGGCTAAATAGAGATCGAAGGCAGAGGCTACAAGCTGGTGTTTTGTTCAAAGTTCAAAACATACCGAATAAGGGCTTACTAGCGTGATAGAAGGCTTCTAAAGTACAAAGAATAGCGCAAGATATGGCAGAGACTCGTCATGTGCAGCCTGGCTTCCAAAGTCGGGCACTTGGCTCTTGGAGTGAGGGCATTCCGAAGGCGGGGTCAGGTCGAGTATCTGGGACTAAGGCTTGACTACCTCTAGAGCTTGGTTTAGGGTTCAGGGTGTAAGGTTCCGAAAAAACAGGCATACATGGTTCGGTTTCTGAGTGCACTGTCGGCTGAAGCAAACTACAATCAGTTTCACCTAACAGGACATCTCGCGACGTTCCCATGAAAGCACAAGAATGCAAGCCTTAGACTTTATCATCCCCATCGGCGTCCTAAACCCGAACCCCTCAGTCCTGCCCAACGTAGGAGGTGTGCATCACGGAGCCCACCTCACGCTGCGGCGTCGAGGGACTGGGGAACTTCTCGGTGACTCATGGAAATTTTACATTCAGGGTCAGAAAATGGAGGTGTTTGTACTTTGGGGTCCCCTTGGGGGGAATGTCCCCACAGGTGTTTTCTCGCTGTTGCAAGCAAGAACCCAGGGAACACATTTGGGGATGCTACCCACAGAGTTTCAATGAGAGGCCGGATGTCACATCCACACGAAGTATGTTCCTTGCCACAGCTAGACTTGGCAATTCGTGCCGTTTAGGTTACAGTTCAGGGAATGTTCTGCACGTCACCGCCGAGCTGCATTCGTGGCTCCCACGGAGACGTAGGTGACGCAGCCGAGGTTGTCCTCGCCGGTGTCCAGTGTCACGTGCATACCTTGGACGAAGGGCCAAGGACGAGGGGCTAGCGGTCAACATGAGGGCCGAAACTAATCAAAGATGGCTCTGCCGGCTTGTAGATGGTATTTTCATGAGGCCTTGGCAGATATAATAGGGCTTTAGAGAATATCATACTGTGTCGATAACCGTATCACCAGCATGAAAACCATACTGGGATACAATGCTTCAGGGTTTCTAGGGCCAACAGACTCTAAGTCCTAAGCCCTAAACCCCAAAACCCTAAACCCCAGCAGGGTGCAGGTTTCGGGTTCAAGGTTCAGTTTAGCGGTTCACGAGGATTGCCGCCGAACCCCAGAACTCGTCAAGACCATAATGTAGGGGCCTCAACGAATTCAGAAGGGCTTTGCTTTGTGGCCCAGTACCGAACAAATTTGCACAGGAAGGACATAGCGGGTTATGCAAATTACTCAGACCTCTATATTTCAGAACTCTGCGGTGAATCCCAGAAAGTTGGAACATGGGTTTTGGACGATGAGTGCTGGGATCCCCTATACTTTACATTAAGGGCAGGAGGATAATGATGTTCCAACTTTCTGTCTTCTACTGTATATTAACCAGGAGGAGGTGCGCTTGTTGGTCGTGAAGACAGGGTCCGTCGATTGCACCTCGTGGTCACAGACTAGACAGCTTTGGCCCCCGGGATGCAGGGCAGCGGCTTCCGGCGTACTGTGGGGGCATTAACCATTGGACTCGGGTTTTGGTGGGCTCCCTATTACAATTATAGTATAGTAGACTTTCAAACCCTATTCATATTCGGATGACGCTGCCAGTGTGTCAAATGAATTGAAAGTACGCTGAGAAACTAACCGAGATTTTCTGTCTGCGGACTCCCAAAGCGTCTGTCCCGTGCACCCGTGTCCGGCAGAGACTAGCGGGACCTCGCAGGTGTAAAACTAGCCACTGGCCCTCGTGAAAAAGAAATCTCTCAACCCCCATGCCTAAACCCCAAGCCCTCAACCCTAAACTGCCCTAAACCCCAAGCCAGACCCACAACTCTAAACCCTAATCCTTGGATCCTAGACCCTAAACCCTAAGGCCCTGAGATTAGAAAAGGTGGCTACAGAACGACACTCAGCACTCAGCGACTCGACAGAAAAGAGCCCCTCAATAAGAATCCCAAGCACCCTGTGGAGTACCCCGGTAGTGCCCTTTGAAGTGGGAGTTTCGGAAACTTGGGGAAGCACGACAGGAGGGGCCCCTGCCTGAAGCATCCTACTCTTTCGGATTTAGAGTTTAGGGTGCAAGGTTTAGGGATCTACATCAAGGGGCCCTTACTTCCTGAAACTCGCCCAGGCTTTTCTTTAAGTGCAGGAAGCTTTCACTCCGAAGAACGATCACCGGGCGAGTTTGGGGGTTTCGGGCCTAGGGCTGACAGGGTTCGGTGGGATCTGGGTTTGAGGTCTATATCTATATATATATATCTATATATATATATGTATATGTATATATATATATATACATATATATATATATATTTATATTTATAGGGTTTGGAGTCTTTGGTTTAAAGTTGAAAGTTTTCGGGCTTGGGCTGAAACAACCTAAACCCTAAACCCTAAACTGAACCTTCTAGGACTTCGGGCCCAAAGCACCCAAGCCTCAGGCTTGGATGGGCCTCTGGGATCGGCAATTCTGCTCGGATCACCAGGGCAAGAGATCTGCAACACAGGAGGGATAAATAGTAAGAGTATTTACAGCGATAACAGCGAAAGAACTAATCATTAATCGTAACATTAGTAATAACTGTAATTACAGCCAGAAATAAATAATGGTAACAATAGTATGAGTAGTAGTCATAGTAGCAATAGTAATGGCAACAATAGTAGTACTAATGATGATAGGGTTCCTTTCAGGCTTACAACAAAAGCCACCATCAGGGGCTTGCTTCTATGGTAGCTATACATGCAACCAGCCGTTGAAAGTAGCCGCTGGTGGAGATCAACATCCAAAACCTCTGAGCCCGAACCCAAATATTAGCCCCCGTCTTGTCGGGTATCATGGGGAACTAAAGGTTAACCTTTTTGGTTTGGGGGAGTATATAGGGACTATACTACCCAAAAAAGGTTAAAGGTTACCTACTCTACTGCTAGGACCCTTCGTTCCTAAACCCAACTATACAGCCCTTCAGCGCCAGAACCCGCACTTCCACTCTGAGGCTTGCTCTGCGATGGGGTTGACCGAGTAGTAGTTGCCCGGGTAGTTCTCGAAGCTTTTGACAACTCGGCGCGTTCGGCGGCTCTTCACCCGGCTTTAGGAGGTAACCACCCCCGTATGGTTCCCATATGATCATAGTACAGCATACCTCCAAACGGCCCTAGCAGGCTTACTCGTTTTCTAAACAGTAAAGCCGGCCCCGGGCTCAAAATGCGACAATGAGAACCCTGACACCCAACCCCTCAGCGGTTCTGTGGGGATTAGGCACGGAGCCTTTTCTGTCCCAACCCGAACTCCCACACAAAAACAGGGAGTGTGGACGTTTGAGCCTCATGTAGGCTTCGGGTTAGTTTGCTCTCACCCGATTTGTTGGGACCGCAACAAGGATATTTTGATCTTGGGGATCTTAAGGACGGGGATTTAGGGCATGGGAGCTGTGCCTTAGCCCTAAAGACTAGAAGCCCTCAGCCCTAGTGCGAGCCGCAGCACCCCCATCTACCGGGAAGTGGAAGCGGTGGTAGTCCTGAGGCGCCAAACGCACCTGGGTGGGGCGAGGATGGCAGACTTGAGCTAATTTCGGGGCGTCGGCTTCGGATTGAGGATTCCGGGTCCAAGATTCAGGGTTAAGCTCTGGGGTTTGCGATTCAGGGCTTTTGGTTTGGGTTTATGGTTCATCGCTGGCAATTCGGAACTTGTGGGCTGTGCCGGCTTCGGTCTTTAAAGGAAGCTTCGGGACCATGGGTTCCGAATCTCGCCCGATCCCGCCCGTGCTGCAGCCTAAATCCTGAAAGCCCTGAAAAGCAAGCCCTCCGTGGGAGTTTCAAGCAAGAAGGGATCCCAATATCGACCCTCTTCACAGTGCGTAGGATGCTTATGATAAGAACCCCGACATGAGGAAGTGGGGAAGCCCTAATCTCAAGAAACCCCTACATCCCAAGCCCTCCACAAAGAAACACCGACCGGGCAAATCTCAACACCTTGAACTCATTAAAAAGAGAGCCGAGAGATGAATCCTAAGGTCCGGAACCTTTCAAGGGATCTGGCACGGCAAGCTTACGATGGTCGTGCGTACTATTGGTATTGTGGCTCACCATGACTGTGGCGCAGAAATGCTCTGCAACCAAAACCACGGGGAACCGCCCTAAACCCTATAAACCCTAAACCCTAAACTCTAAACTCTAAACCCTAAACCCTAAACCCTAAACCCTAAACTAAACCCTATAAACCCTATAAACCCTATAAACCCTATAAACCCTATAAACCCTATAAACCCTATAAACCCTATAAACCCTATAAACCCTATAAACCCTAGACCCTAAACCCGAAGAAATTTCCTTTAACTAAGCCTTGAATCCTAAGACCCAAGCTCCGAACCCTCTAATACAGGAACCTGAATTAGGATCGGGTTTAGGGGCCCCTTTATACTATAGTTACAATAAGGAACTCCCAAAATAGTATAGGTAATTATTTAGGCCCCTATACTAAACCCTAAGCCCCAAATCTTAACAAACCAGACTGAAAGGCACCTCCAACCTTAGACTCACTTGGCTTTGGGGCGAGGCGCGATGAAGGCGACCCCGTGATCGTAGTACCTTCGCTGGGGAGAGGGCCTATGAGTTTAGGGCTTTGGGTTTAGAGTTGAGGGTTCGGAGCTTCGTGAAAACATACGAGGAGTACGTTTTAGGGCTTGGGGTGCTAAGCGTTCAGCTTATGTAGGCCCAGGGGCTCGGGATACAGGGCGCTCGGCTTATGTTGGCAGGCGGGGGGGACGTTCGTCTGGATCTTCGGGCATGGGCGTTACGGGGACAACTTTGCAAAGCCAGGAATGAACAAATTGGAATGTGCATCCACTTGCTAAGATTCTGGTTGGGATCTTCTTGAAATATTTTACAGCAAGCGGGGTTTTTATTCACCCAGAAAATCCTAAACCCTAAACCCCTAAACCCTAAACCCCTAAACCCCCTAACCCCTAAACCCTAACCCCAAACCCTAAACCCTAATTCCCTAAACCCCAAACCCTAACCCCTAAACCCCTAAACCCCTAAAACTTAAAGGAGTTTCCATTATTGAACACACCAGAGGCGCCTGTAGTCGCTATCGCGCTTGAAGCTGACCTTCGAAGCATCGGGGTGCTGGAGAGAGGGATTCGGGTTTGAGAGTTTGGGGTTTAGGGTTTAGGGTTTGAGGGTTTGAGGGTTTAAGGGTTTAGGGTTTGAGGGTTTAGGGTTTCGGGGTTCGCATTTTGTTTAGGGCCCCTGTTTACATCCAGCAAGTGGTCCGGGTACCTAGTTTAAGGTTATAGGCGAGCTCGGAGGGATAGAGCTTCGTGCAGGCTTTCGAGTCCAGGGCAGAAGGTGTCAGGATCAGGGTCGAAGGTGTCTGACCAGACGCATGGTTACCTTAAAAAACCTAGCTACAAAGTCCCATGATCCTTCAGGTACGTACCTTTGCATGTCAGTGTATATATGGAGAGAGGGAACAGAATGAATGGCAGACCGGTAGATACATAGACCTAATACTTAAACATGGATACAAACATATGCAATTGCAGTTACATCCACAAGCACTTCATGTACACGCACATATACCTTTTCCAACGGGTCCATTGGCGGGCACATACAAAGACAACTACATACAGGCAATCCTATGCGTGCATGCATGCATGCGTGCATGTATTTATGTATGTATGTCGATATGTACGTATGCACGTATGCATGTATGTAGCGTGCACATCAACACACCCATGTACACACGTATCGCTACATGGAATCACATACATGTGTACGTGAAGAGGCATTTGTAAGTAGCCAGATATGAACCTCGTCAGACGCGTCGCCTCGTGTTACTCCATGCGAGCAAGAGCGATAAGGGAATGCACACGCCGTGGATACCGACACATATGTACATTCTGAAGAATACATCGGTTCATACAGACGCAGCTATGTTATGTGTGTACACACATACTATATACGTGCATCTGCAACGGCTTGCAGCCTCCTGTCCCCAAGCACGGCGCTGCAACAGATCGAAGCCGAGCCGCCAAACTCTGCAGCAGGAACTGCTCGCCCTTGACCCAGAAGCCTGTCTACACATTCTATGTTCTATCATATATCAATTAAGGCTCTTCCTGTAATTTGTAGGCTCCTTGAAGGTTTAACGTTTTCAGTGTGCTTTGGGGCTTCAGGGTTTCGGGGTTTAGAGCTAGCTCCGGGTCTCGAGATTGTAACTTCAGGTGGTTTAATATAGGGGCCTGTATAATTAGAATTGGGTTTTGGGGGTGATTGGTGATTATTTTTTGGCTTCTATGGTAGCTCAGCCTTTCAACGAAAAGACCGGACGAGATACGCCCGGCCCCCCACGCGCCTGTCTTTTCGGGGATGAAGTCTGGGAAAACGATGACACCTGGGCAGCACATTCTGGACATGATGGATGCAAGTGGTCAGAACTCAGTGCACCGCAATTCCAGTCTCCATACTCTTTTTCACGATGTAAACTACTATATTTTTCGAGCTCTTGTCTAAGAAACCTGCTGTAACATCGCGGAAGCACGCTGAGGTCAATTCTGCTTGCCGGTTCGAGGTCTGGGGCTACTGGCTTAGATAGAGGGCTGAAACCTCGGTTTCGGGCATAATGTTAAAGGTTTTAGGTCGAAATGCTCGAGGATGACGTCAAATCAGGACAGACTGACTTTGGAGGATGCTAGCGGCACCATCCTCATCCCCTTCAAGTTCTGCGAAGAATCACTCAGACTTGAACGTTGCAGCGACCAAACTGGCAGCCCGGCTTCAACTTCAACGAGATTTTGGCAGCCTCTCACAGCCTTGAAGGTAGTATCCCCAATGAATGGGGCCAGCTTTTAAAGCTCCCTTTACCCTTTTCAGCCTTACAACCCTGAAGAGGCCCAACCTTACCCTCAACCCTAAACTCCAAGAGCTCTGGACCCTGAAACCCTTATAACCCTTATGACCCCTTGTAACCCTTATTAGCCCTTATAGCCCTGATAACCATGAGACCCTTCTAACCCTTAAAGAACTTATAACCCTGATAACCCTTATAACAGCCTAAACCCTACACCCCAAGCCCCATCCCTAAATCCTAAACCCTAAACCCTAAACACCAAAGCCCCATCCCTCTTTTGGAGAAGTTTCTAAGGACGTGCAACCGCGAAGCGTCCGTCTGCCGGAGAAACCAAGCTCCTGAGATCTTTCGGCTAAGGTTGAGCGTTATAAGGTTTAGGGTTTAGGGTGTATGGGTTTAGGGTTTGGGGGTTTAGGGGTTAGGGGCTTAAGGTTTAGGGTTTAGGGGTTAGGGGCTTAAGGTTTAGGGTTTAGGGTTTACGGGTTAGAGGCTTAAGGTTTAGAGTTTAGGGTTAAAGTCTTGGGCTCTAAGGCTTTTCTGGTTTTGGGGTTTTCCCGGTTCAGGGCTTTCGTGTTCAGGGATCTAAGGGTTCGGTGCTCGTAAGGCTGCCTTCGTAAACAGGCGTTTGACTCTGGCGGGCGCGCCGGCACAGCTACCAGGTCCGATTTCAGCTCCGGGTGGGCGTGTAAGAGTTGTGATTCCGAGAGAGTCCATTCTGAAGTCCCTGAATTGCTGGGGTGTGGTTTGGTCAAGGTCGTCGTGGCAGATGGGTAGGGCGCGTTCCCTGGACATTCAAAAACTACCGGCATGTTTGTCCTCTGTGTTTCGACCTAGTGTATTTGACGCTTTCCTGGCAAGAAACCACATGCCGCAGTTTGGCCAAGATGTCTGTAAGCTGCTGAAACTGTCCGGAGGTTAAATCTGTGAGGGAAGCGCGGGCCGTGACAAAGATTTCAAAATTTGTGAGCATGTTGATTGTGCGTATGTTGGTTCGGCAATGCGTGCCTTGGTGCTCATGGCCTCTATTGTTAATATAGAGGCCTCAGTAGTTACCTCTATTATTGCGGGGGGGTCCTTATTATAATTAGAGTAGAACAGGCCCCAAAACACAGTTCTAATTATTACGGCCCCTAAATAACCTTGCCGGGACTACTCCATGAAACCAGGGATCCGAGATGTGTGGCTTCTTCGCCGTTGAGGGTCTAGGGTTCAGGGTTTAGGGGTTAATATAGGGATTAGGGTTTAGGGGTTGGGGGTTAGGGTTTAGGTTAGGGTGCCAGGGTTTGGGGTTTCAGCTCCTGACCTCTTGCTGAACTCAGGATTCGGGATGATTCGGGTTTGGGCTTGTGCTGCAAGATTTTGGGGGCTTGTGGGGTTTAGGGTTTAGGGCTTGTGGTGAGGGTTTCTGCTTTGGCGTATGTTTCTTGACTGGCTCACGACACGTGCAAGCAGGCACATCTGACCCGCGCTTGCGGGTTTGGGGCTTATGGTAAGGTCCCCGAAAACAACCAGTCTAACGATGAACCCTAAACCCGGAACTCTAAACCCTGAACCCTAAACCCTAAACCCAAAAACCCGATACCCTAACCAGTCTAACTTGGGTACGGCCCCCATACAGTAACAGTCTATAATAGGGCTACTATTAAGGGCCTTCTATATCTATATTAATTATTATCCCACTGTTACTGAGTGGGGGGCCGTACCCAAAGTCTAACGATGAACGTCCGATGTTAACGCGAGGAGCCGGCTCTGAAGTTCTTCGTTGCCGAGGCACTTCGTCGCGCGGGCGTTCTCGTCGATCTCCTGGCACTCACCTGCGTCCTGCTTTCGGGTTTAGGGGCCCCCTAAACCCGAAACCCCGAACCTTGGGGCGATCTCGGGGTTTACGGGTTCAGGGTACTTAGGATTTCGATTAGGGTGTAGGGTTCCTGAGCCCGAACTAAACCCGCCTGAACCCTAGCCTGTAAGCCCCAAAAGAGGCTCTGAATATCGAAGCTCAAAATCCCAAGCCCTTCTTCAAAGATCAGGAAAGTAATTTCGTCCTACAGCTAGAAGCAGAGCGGAGTAGCGGAGTAGCAACCCGCATGTATCGAAGAACCCCCCTATCCGTTTAACACCCTCCACCACAGCGGATTGGGATTTAGGAATTAGGGTTTAGGACGTCGGGTATGATAATACAGGAGTCTGAGCAGAGAGCATATAAGACCATCGTGCTCTCTAGCTGCTGAGGCCGCTTAAACGAACCCTGTAAGACCCGGAAGCATCTGAGGCAAGCCCATTGGAACCCTATATGGGTGGTTGTCAAAATTATGGTCTTATTTGGGTCCCTAACATAATACGGCACCTATTATGTAGGGTACCCGAAACGGTGCCATAATTTTGACAAACACCCATATAACAACTACAGCAACAGCACTGCTTAAGAAATCATTGGTTCAAGAAAGTGAGCCCCTCCGGCAGCCGCGCCACAAAAAATGTATTAACACACTTCGAATTGAAAATGAGAAACCCAGTGTACCCTGGACTCGGCGTGCAAATTTCTCATTTTGCTCTTCTCATTGTGTCTCCGCTGGTTTTGTTCGTGCAAAAACGGAAACCAAGAAACTCAGGGAGCACATGTCGTGTTCCGAAAGCTCGGCGCAAAGCCTTTACAAAGCCTCTAGAGCCCTCCAAAGCTGTTACTCAGGCCTTAGTAAACCCTTATCAGGCAAGCGCAGAACGGCCTCGATTTCTTGTTTTGGCGGGTTCTGGGCTTGCCTAATAATGGCTTCATAGGGCCGTAATAACATCTTTGGAGGGCTCTAGAGGCTTTGTAAGGGCATAAATGAATGGAAAAAAACACCAAAAAAAGAAATTGAGGGGCTCGATCTCTTAAATTTAAGGAGTTGCGGAGCTCAATTTCTTATTTCGGTGGGTTCTGGGCCTGCCTAATAAGGGCTTAACAAGGCCTTAATAACAACTTTGGAGGGCTGTCGAGGCTTTGTAAGGGCTTAATTCAGGCCTTAAATTAAGCTTTGCCATATAGGAAAACACCACCAAAATATGAAATTGAGGGGCTCGATATCTTGTTCTGGAGGGGTTTTGGTAAGGGCTGAATTACAAGCTGGATCAAAAATTGAAGGATATGATGGCTTTCAAGAAGTCTAAAGGATGCCATGCTCGAGTGGATAAGCGCATGAGCTGGAATGGAAAGTGCTGCGGGCTCAAATATTTCTATGATCTTATTTCTTGAATTTGTCTTTCTTTGCTGCCGTTTCAAATTAAGACATTTGGGTTAAGAAATCCAGGGTACCCTCAAATCCTGAAACGTTCTTTTACTAAAAAAAAGGTGTGCTTCAAAATTAAGACAACCCACCCACCCCCGTTACGAAAAATTAACTGCTTCTTGTCCGGCGCTGTAGCACAACCCGTTTTAACCCTTTCTAAACAAGTATCATACCCGGTAAGCCCTTGTCAAACAAGCATCAAAACACTACGGTAAAAGCCAGAAAGATGGAATATGATTATCCTAAACCCTTTATGGCAAATGATAGGGTATCCTACCATTATCCATATTCCAACTTTCTGGAGTTCCCTTTATCTTGAAAACTCCGACCACCCTGCAGAATCCACGAGAGGACAGGCTCGCCAGGTCCTGGCTGTAGCAGAGCATCTTCCGACTGCCCAGAGCGAGCTTCCCTTGGTGTAGGGTTTTGGTTTTAAGTTGGGTTTAGGGTAGGGTTTAGGACTAAAGATTTGGGTTTAGGGTTTAGGGTTTAGGGTTTAGGGAGGGGCCGCTGGATTTGCTGGGTGTTACCGGGATTGCACAGGGTATTGTAGGGTTTTTACAAAGTGCTATGCTAGGTTTATCGGGGGTTTACTGGGGTGCGGTAGGGTGTTTTAGGAAAGTAAACTTAAGTCACCACAGAACAAATATCAAATAAAATGCTTCCTTCGTTGTCTAGCAGAATCCCAGATTACACCTCGAGTTGGGCGGGCTGCCAGGCACGATGAGGGTTTAGGGTTTAGGGCAAATCCTAAGACCACTTGAATGATAAGAGCCCTCAAGTCCCAAGACTTTCGAACCGTAGAAGTAGGACTGCCTGGAAAGCCTGAACCCGAGCAATCCGAAAAACCATCCTTAGAACCCTAAACCCCGAACATAGAAACCCTCAAGAAAACGCAGCCCTAAAAACAACATCGAAGTCCAGCAACAAAAACCGGAAGACTCCTGTTCCTCCAACCCTTAAACCCAAAACACAAGAACCCCTAGACACCCCCCCCAAAAAAAGAAAAACATCAAACGGTGGCGCGTGGCGATAGAAGAAATGGTTGTAGGTCGGAAAGATCTCGCCGGCCTTTGCGATGCAGGCATCCTGACGCGAGGATAGGACTCCTTTAGGGGATCCGTTTAGAGCTCCTTTAAGGGATCTCTAAGGGTTCCTTTGAGGGCTCCTTAATCGGCTCTGCATGGTCACTGCAAGAATCCTTTAATGGCTACAAGTGGTTCTGGTGCTAGGGTTTGCGTTCGGTTTTGGGCGTAAGGCTTAGGACGATTAGTGGGGCCGTACGCTTTACGGTGTTCGGGTTTCGGATTCACAAGGTTTAGAATGATTACGGCTTGAGGGTCTGGTGCTGGCAACTCCGCTACAAGGCCCGTGCTGTCCTGATAGGAGCGGTTGGGGGGTTAGGTTTAGGGTTTGTGTTCAGAGCTGCGATACGGTTTTGGGATTTGGCACTCTTTGCCTCTTTGGCGACCTCCACCGCCCCCGCCCCTTCTTTTCCTGTTTGGACGTCCCTCCCGATTGGGACAAACTCTAAACCCCAAACCTTGATGCCTCATTGAGAGCCTCTACTGAAACTCCACTGAGTTCTTATTGGGCAACTTCCTTTAAGTTGCCACAACAGGGATATAGCCAATATGTTTTTGCGCTTCCTTCTTCGCATAGCTTCATTAAACCCAGTTCCCGAAAACCCCGTGACTCCAAGTGTAAAAGGGGGGACCTTTAATCGGGACGCCTAGGTATATACCCTTAATATAGCTATTATATATACCCATTATATAGCCCATTATAGGCTAAGGGGCCCCATTAAGGGTCCCTCCTTTTTTGTTTTGAGTGACGTCAGACCAGGCCCTTCTAATGCTTGAAGAAAACACCCTTTCCACGGTGGCTTGAAGCAGGCTCCTTGATAAGAACCCAGCCTAGAGCCTAAACCCTAAATAACCCCTAAACCCTAAACACTAAACCCTAAACCCTAAACCCCTAAACCCTAACGCCAAACAGTTTCCCCAGCCTAATTGCCCCGCAGCCGCGGACAAGCCCGAAGTAAGCCCGCAAACCTTGAAGGCCCTAAACCATACAACCTCAAAACCCTCAACCCTACAATCTTACAAGCCCTAAACCCAAAAAACCCTGAATCCTGCGACACTTCAAGCCCTAAAACCCTAAAACGCTAAATCCTAAACGCCCCAAAAGCCCTGCAACCACGGCAGCAGGATTTGCTAGGTCCTCGCTGCCGCACCCTTGCAAGCCTTCCACACTTTCCAGGTCTACCTCGCTCAGGGCTCAGGTTTTTTTTAAAGGGGCTCAGGTTTAGGTTTAGGGCTTGGGGGCTTGGAGTTTAGCGTTCAGGGTTTAGGGTTTCAGACCTGGTGGTGTTTAGAGTTTAGGGTTTCAGACCTGGTGGCGTTTAGAGTTTGGGGTTTCAGACCTGGTGGCGTTTAGAGTTTAGGTGTTTGGGCTTAGTTCAGGGTTTGGGGTTCAGGTTTCGGGTTTAAGTTTACGGTCTGGGCAATTTGGCGGCTTCTTGGCCTTTCACAGCCCCCCCCTGCATAATCAACCCTGAACACCTACTCCTAAAGCCCCTGAACACCTACTCCGAAAGCCCCTGAACCCTAAACCCTGAATCCCCTGAAACATGTCAAAACCCGGTCCGGTGTAGCCTTGTAGGTCTCCACAAAGTGGCGAATGTAGTGGAGCTTCTTCTCCAGATCCTTCGTCCTGGGCTTGTAAGTATCAGAGACTTCTGATGTTCTAAAACGGTGTTATAGGGAGCATGGTTTAGGGCTTTTAAGTATCAAAGTCTTCTGAGTTTCGACAAAAAGTGTAAGTTTGGGGTTTATGGTTTAGGGTTTTGATGGGGTTTATCGGGTTGTATACGGATCGGCGGTTCAGGGTCCTACGGGGTTTAGGGCGTCTGGGGATCAATCACGACTCTTGCCTGCTGTCCCCAGCCCTAAACCCTATCTCGGCACAGACTGAAACCCTACATCCTGAACCCTGAATCCTTTTGACCCCTCAATCCCGGCACTCCCAACCCTGAACCCCCAAACCCTTAACCTTAGGTACGGCCCCCATACAGTGAGAGTCTATAATAGGGCTACTACTAAGGTCCTACTATATCTATATTGTGCATATTATTCAACTATTACTGGGTGGGGGTCGTACCCAACCTTAACCCCTGCATCCCTAAGACCCTCCAGCCCGAAGCTTCTCAGAGGCGTTCAATCTATAGTAAATCCCAGAAAGTTGGAAACCTGATTAAGGGCAAATAGTGCTGGGACTACCTATACAGTACTCTTAAGGATTGAGGCTATGGGGTTTCCAACTTTTTGGCTTTTACTGTATGCCTACACGCAGAAGCACCAAACACCCTAAATCCTGGAAACAAGGGAGTACAGCGTAGACTTACGAGTGAACATAGGGGCCTTAACAACTGCAATCGGTTTTGGGGGTATAACAGCACGGGGATGTACGGATTCTTAGGGCATCGTCTTCTAATCATTCCTAAACCCTTAAACACCTTTATGCGGCGCTATAAAACATGGACTGTGAAACGGCATCTTATTCCTAGTTACTGGAGCCTCTGTTTTACCCAAAGCCGCAATGGAGGATAAAGTCTCCATATCAAGCCCCGACAAATTTCAAAAACCCTCATGAACATTTACAGAAGGGACTGCCTCAACATTTATGAATGCCCATATTAAAAGTCATACAAGTCGAGTCATGTAAGTCTGTAAGTCATATAAAGCCCAATTCTTATCCTAGGTCCTGCACGCTGCGGCCGAGCCTGCCGTCACAACGTCTTCTAGTGTGGAGCTTAGGGCTTACGGTTTGGGGTTCAGGGGCTTTCGGTGCGCGTCCCTTCGCTGCTTACAGTCTACCATGAGACGCATTCCCATGGTGAAGTTTAAGCTCTGGTGGAAAGTGAAGTTGAACAACAACTCCCCTCGTCCGGTCCCGGCTAGACTTCCGGGCGCCTGCAGTCCGCGACCGGATCAGGATAGAGTGTAGAGAAGTCAAAGGTTTTGGCGCTGACCGGCTTCTTCTTCCCCAGCATCGTAATCTCATTCTCACAGTAGGTCGTGAGGGCGGAGAAGTATTTCGGCAAGTTGCCGCTTCGTATCCAAGAGCCCCATCAGAACTCCACCCATATTGGCCTGCTCGTGCCAACGGCGCCGAGACGCCGCGTGCCAGGAGCACAGGAGAAGGACACCCGTCCACTAAACCCTAAACCCTAAAGCCATCGCCCGAGAGCCACTGGACTGGTCAGTTACTAAAGGATTATTTGAGGCACTGCAGAGCAGTCCCAGAAGTTCTAAGCAACCCATTAGAGACTCACCAAGCCCCTGATGTGAAGCCTAGTTCGGATATCAGAACTTAAAGGATCTCTGCCGAGATGCTCGTATGCCATGACACCCTTCTGGTCATATTTGCTGGTGACCTTGCAGGGGCCATGCGAAAGCTTCACTAACTCTATGGAAGTATGGGAAGCCTACGTATAGAAGCAGTAAAAAGTAGGACGATGATGATGCTGGTGATGATGACGATGATGATGCGGAGGAGGACAGCGATGCCGATGCCGATGGGGATGCTGATGCTTTTGGTGCTGGTGATGGTGATGACTGGGAGCTGATAACGACGCCTCTCAGAATGTCCTGATAGCTGCATTTGCAACTTTTCTTGCGCAGTTTCTTCCGAACTTCTCTAGGATACCCAGTAACCTAAGAATAAAAAGGCCTCTCTTTTTGGTATTGAGTAACTTTATAAGGAACCTAGGACTACAAAAAGGGAATAAGGGTACTACTGCGCATCCTAGTTCTTGGTTACTGCCAAACACCAGCACGAGACTTGTTGCCGCAAACCGCCCACCCTCCCCTAAAGCCTCAACCCCTGAACCTAAAACCCTTGATCCTACATTGACCCGAAAGCCTGAAACCCTGATCCTCAAAACCCCCGGATCCTGGTTTAGGGTGTAGGGTTCAGGGTTTAGGGTTTAGAGTTTAGGGCTTGTGCAGGCAGTCTTGAGACAATGCAGAAGCGAATCACTTGTGCATCAACTACATAAGGCATGACGGCTCAAAGGATCTAAAGAGAGAGTTTAGGGTTTAGGGTTTTAGGATCCTCCAAACCCCAGCAGCCTTGTTGGCTTTCTTCACCAGCCCCGAGCCGAAACCAACGTTTTGGAGATTGTCCTCTCGCGGTGGCAGGATGGCTTAATATAGGGGCCTTAATAATTACCTAAACTAGTTTGGGGGTTCCTTATTCTAATTGTACTAGAATGGGCCCCGAGACCCTATTCTAATCATTGAGCCCCCTAGATTAGGCAGTTTTGGTGACACAGGGGCCGTTGCAATTGGAATAAGGTTTCGGGGTATTGGCACTATGCTTCCAGAAGGGAACCCCTAAGGAATAGCATGATGACATGTTATAAGTATAAGAAGCACCGTAGGAATAGTAATTACCCATCTAGACCTCCCGGTAGTTGTGCGAATTTGTGCGTCTTGCACCCTTATTGTCACGGCTCAGGCAGCAAGCTGAGAGAATGGTCGATAACCCTGAACCCTAAATCCCCCAAAACCCTAAACCCTAGGCCCTAAACCCTGAACCCTAAACCCCTAAAGCAGGTGCCCCAAAGCCCTGGGTCTCGGCTCCATCACCACTATTCGAAGAAGTCGAAGCTAGTGCAAAGGCTCAGACCCAAAACTGAACTCAAGGCCGTAAGCTCTGAACTCCCCAAACCCTAATAAGTACCACTATGGGCTATTAGACCCTAAAGATCCCTATTAGGACCCTATTAAGGGTAGATTAAGGTACCCTTAAAATTTAGGGTTTAGGGCTTAGGGTCTAAATCCCTATTCAACCCTAAACCGGAACGACAAGGCCTCCACTGTCAGCAGCGTGCGGAATAGAAAGCCAGTGAAGGAGCCGCCGCCATAGGCCTCAAGCCGACCACGGCGTTTAAAATTGAGGTCTTAGGGTTTAGGGGTTTAGGGGTTTAGGGGTACAGGGTTTAGGGTTTAGGGGTTTAGGGGCCTACGGGGTTTAGGGTTTGGGGTTTAGGGGTTTAGGGGTTGTGTAGGGTGTACTTGGAGGTTCAGGGGTAGTTATAAGTGCGGTTATAAGCAGGTAACTATAATTATAACCCGGATTAGGCGGCGGTAACTCCATTTATGACTACAAGTAGGGTTTGCGGATTGGGGCTTGGGGTTGGGCATTACGGTTTAGCCACTTCTGAAAGTTGTTTAAAGGTGGTTTGGGGGTTAGGGCCGGGAAGCTTTGGCAGATTGACGTTCTTGTGACTTGGCAAGTAGGCCACTAAGTAGGCTTAGTAGGATGGATCATGGCGCAAGTTTATATGGATGGCACGAGATCCTACCACTGCTTTCAGGGTCCAGATTTCTGGGGAAACATCCGGTTCAAATCATTCAGACAATAACATCCTTCAGCCATTGGGCAGCCAAGCACCAGTTAAGGAACGCTTGAAGCAGCCCTTAAAGGAACCTTAAATCTTAAAACCTAGCACCTAAAGCAACCTCAAACCCTAGACTAGACCCGAAGCTTAAACCCTAAATCCTAAACCCTAAATCCCAAACCCTAAACCCCAAACCCGAAACCTGAAGGAGCCCTAAACCCTAAACCCAAAGGAGCCCTAAACCCTGAGCCGTAAGCAGAGGCTGAGTTAAGCTCGGGCCCCAGCGGTCTTCAGCAGGCCGCGAACTTCCGTGGGGACGTTCTCCAGGTACCTCTGATACAAGAACCCCCTTAAACAACCCTCAAAAAGCCGATATACTATAGAAATAATATTCTGTAAAATACTGTACTATAGCATGGTACACTATAATGTAATATAGTATAACAGCATCAAAAGAAAAACAATCCGTTTAGGGTTGTGGAGTTTGAACTGAGGATCCAATGCCTTAGCAGGATCATTCCCTTCAACTTCCATAAGAACAATACTGATAGCAATAAACAATACAAATAATACCCTGTTCTCATTATTTTGTTAAAGCACCCTAGACGTAAGGATTCCAAGGCCCTAGGATGTCGGCAGTATACACTCCAAGACCCTACTCTAGTTATTTCTTGAAACCCCCAACATACCTAAGGGTTCAAAGGCCCAGCACCAAGGTGCCATGTGCCCGCTGCACCCGGCTCGTCACCAACCTCGTAGAGGAAGATGCACATGTCCTGTCCAAGATCATCGGCTTATTACAGGCTTGGGGGCTTAGGGTAGGGTTTAGGGTTTCAGCCCGAAACCCCAAGCCCTGAACCCTAAACCCTAAACACCTAAACCCTAAACCCTAAACCCTAAACCCCTAAACCCTAAACCCCTAAACCCCTAAACCCCTAAACCCCAAGCCCGAAAAACCCGCGCCTTCACCATCTTCTGGCTTGTTCCATCGCCCAGGAACTGGGTGAGATTCGACTCCTGGCCGCCGTCTTTGGGTTTAAGGTTTAAGATTTAGGGTTTAGGGTTTAGGGTTTAAGGTTTAGGGTTTAGGGGCTTAGGGTTTAGGGCTTAGGGGTTTAAGGTTTAGGGTACAGGGTACAGGGTTTGGGGTTTGGGGTCTTTTGGAGTTTAGGGCCTTTAGCGGTTTGGGGTCTAGGGTATAGGGGTTGAGGGTTCAGGCTTTGGGGTTTGGAGTTTGGGGCTTCGGGTTAAGATCAGTCCGTATCTTTACCTTAAAAGGGATCCTTTAGGGGTTCCTTTAAAGGGATCTATAGGGGTTCTATAAGGGTTCTATCCTTTAAGGGATCCTTTAGGGGTTCCTTAAATGGATTTTGTTATTGCCGACCTTTGGCTTAGAAACGGCCGCCGATCCGACATGCGCTCAGAAAACGGCACCAAGACCCAGAGAGCTCAATACCCCTTAATTAAGGAATATAGCTTAAATCATAATATGAAGCCCTATATAATTTAAGCCATATTCCTTAATTAAGGGGTATTGGGCTCTCTGGGGACCCGGCGGTACGATTCGTGATACCCCCAAACCCCATTCTTATTATTAAGGCTCCTGTGTTAGTCAGTGGTTGGGCACGTCCCTTGGGCCGCACAGGCTCGAGTGTTCGGGAGGTCGGCTGAGGCATCGTGCTTTTGGAGGTCCCTCCAAAGAATTAGTCACAAAGTTTGGAGCCGTGAGGGCTCAGGTCCGGGTTCTGAGGATTGGGTCGCTGGTTTGGCTGCAAGGGCTCGTGCTATTAAGGGGAACTCCAGAAAGTTGGAATATGGTTTCAAGGTAGGATACCTTTTTATTTACCATAAAGGGTTTAGGGTAATCATATTCCAACTTTCTGGCTTTTACTTTATGTAATGCAATAGGGAACCCTGCGGGAAGCTGTTACTTTCTAAGAGCGGGCTCATGCCCAATCAAACACTGGTGCCCCGGCCTCCCCCAGCTTGCGAAGGCACTCCTGGTGCAAGTAGGGCTTAGGTTGTTGGGTTTTAAGATTTCTGGTATATTTGTTTGGGTTGAAGATTTGGGGTTGATGCAAGCTGCAGATGCGATCTTTCAGGGCATGAGGAGACCAACCCGAACCCCACACCCCCGACGCCACATAGGGACGTTCCATGTGTAGATTCACTTACCCAACACCCCAAGTGCCCGAAGCCCCAAACCCAAACCCACTAAGCCCCAAATTGTAAAGCCATCAAACCCAAAGCCCAAATCCCCAAAGCCCTAACCAAGCCCCAAACCCGCTTAGCCTTCAACCCTCGACCCCTTAAATGCTACTGAACTTTGTACATTGTACTTGCGCCTCGGCCCCGGCCGAAGACGCTTTTTACCCTCTCGCAAACGCGGGTCCAAGTTTGTGCTCACCCCAGCCCGCCCGTTGTTGCCGACACCACTCGGCGGACGACGGGAAACTGTTGCAGTTATATATACCTTATGATAGAGATTGGACACAAGCACCCGACATCACCCCACAACCCTAAGCACATCACTAGCATCAGCGCTGTAGCGAAGGTTGTCCGTGCATCATTACTGTAGGGGCCTTAGTTGATTAGAATAGGATTTTGGGGGGTTCCTTCTTGTAAATTATGGTATTAATTATACACCCCAAAACCCTATTCTAATTGTTAAGGCCCCTATATTACCATCAGCTGCCTGTCCGTGCCGAGGCGGCCCGTTCAATGAACATCCGGAGCACAGGCACCAGATGCCTGGTGCTTGCACGCAGTGCGCATCGACAGCATCAGCGGGTAGTGTGTGTCGGGAGATAGCCCCGGCAGTGCGCGTCCTCCGCATCAGCTGGGCGATCCTTAGCCCTAAAGTAGCCCGGGCACAATGCAGCATGAGCATGAGCTGGGTAGTGTCGGTCATTCGGGTGGTGAGTAGAGCATGCAGCCAGTATGCATAATGCCTGAAATCAGCATCAGCTGCATACTGCCTGGCCGGCAGAAACGGGAACCGCGCATCATAAGCAATATCTGCGTACTGCTTCTCAGGAAGCAGCCCGGGTGGCGCGCATCATCAGCATCAGCTGGATTTTCCGTGACCGGATACAGCAGTGGAAGCGTGCATCATGAGCATCAGCTGGACATTGCCTGGCAGTGCACATCATTAATATCAGCTAGAGATTGCGTGTGCCTCATCCGTATCAGCTAGATGTTGCCTCTCCGCAAATAACCCGGGCAGTGTGCATCATCAGCATCCGATGGGGTGAATACTGCCTGTCCGTAGATACCCCCGGGCAGTGCGCATCATGAGCATTAGCTGCGTAGTGCCTGCGTAGGCAGTGTGCATCATCAGCATCAGCTGCATGATGCCTCTCCGCAAACAGGCACGCAGCATCAGCATCAGCTGGATATTGCCTTTCCGCAAATACTCCAGACAGTGCGCATCATCAGCATCAGCTCGATATTGCCTGTCCTGAAATAATCCGGGCCGTGCGCATCATCGGCATCAGCTGGATATTGCCTTTCCGCAAATACTCCAGACAGTGCGCATCATCAGCATCATGTCGATATTGCCTGTCCTGAAATGACCCGGGCCGCGCGCATCATCAGCATCAGCCGGATATTGCCTTTCCGCAAATACACCAAACAGTGCGCATCATCAGCATCAGCTCGATGCTGCCTGTCCTGAAATAACCCGGGGCGTGCGCATCATCGGAATCAGCTGGATATTGCCTTTCCGCAAATACTCCAGACAGTGCGCATCATCAGCATCAGCTCGATATTGTCTGTCCTGAAATAACCCGGGCCGTGCGCATCATCGGCATCAGCTGGATATTGCTTTTCCGCAAATACTCCAGACAGTGCGCATCATCAGCATCAGCTCGATATTGCCTGTTCTGAAATAACCGGGCCGTGCGCATCATCAGCATCAGCTGGATATTGCCTTTCCGCAAATACTCCAGACAGTGCGCATCATCAGCATCAGCTCGATGTTGCCTGTCCTGAAATATCCCGGGCCGTGCGCATCATCAGCATCAGCTGGATATTGCCTTTCCGCGAATACTCCAGACAGTGCGCATCATCAGCATCAGCTCGATATTGCCTGTCCTGAATTAACCCAGCCGTGCGTATCATCAGCATCAGCTGGATATTGCCTTTCCGCAGATCATCAAGACGGTGCGCATCATGAGCATCAGATGAATACTGCCTGTCCGGAAATATCACGGGCAGAGTTCCATCATTAGTATCCGCCCGATATTGGTTGGTCCTGAAGTAGCCCAGGGTGCGCACCATCGGCATCAGTTGGATGTTGCCGCTCGGCAAATAGCACTATCAACAACGTAGTGAATTTCAGGAGGCGCATCATGAGAATTAGCTGGAGCAGCCTGGCAATGCGCGTCATCAGCATCAGCTGGATATTGCTTGTCCATCACCAGTGAACCAACCGCATCAACTGGATATTTCTGTCCGCGCATGGCACGTGCAGTGCGCATCATCAGCATCAGCTTCATATTGCCTCTCCGGCGCATCACGAGCATTAGCTGCGCAAAGCCTAGCTGAGTTGCATGTGTGCTCAAAAAACCCTAAACCCGACACAAAACCTAAAGCCCTCATCCCTGCCAGCACTGGAAGGAGCAGTAGGCCTTTGTAATCAAAATAAGCCAAATATAATAAGGAACCCCCAAAATAGTATAGACCTTTTTTTAAGGCTTCCAAATTACCCTGAAACCTAAGCCTGAAAGGTGCCTGCCCCATACGCCGAATCCCAAAGCAGTTACGCATTCAAATCTTATGGGTCATGAAGCCTGATATCGGCGCCTTAATCATCAGCACAGGGCTTTGAAATGTCTCGAACACAACTACCGAGGGACTCGAAGGAAACAACATTACTAAGTATCAAGGCTTCTATAGTAAGCTCTACCATCAACCTGAATGTCGTGCGCTGCCTGGTTCGTCTTGTCGAACTTCCCGTCGGCCGCCGTCCAGCTGTTCAGCCTGCTTACGTCTTAAGGCTCTCCGATTCACAGCTGACGCTCCTCTAAACCTAAACCCTAAACTCTAGCCTTTGGCGGGCTCCAGATCTGGGAGAGGATGCGCCACAGAAAGTGGGGGTCTGAATGATTAGAAAGGGGTTTCTCCAAGGATTTCTCTAAAAGTCTCTTTTCGCGATCGTTTAGAGTTTAGAGTTCAATGATGTTCCTGAGAGCAAGCCGGTTTCTTCCAGGATTTCTTGTAAAGTTTCTTTTCGGCGTCTATAAGAGTGCAATATTCTGGGGAATTCTATAGTCTGGTTGACAAGTCTTGCACTGGCCTTGCAAAAAGCCTATCCCAAACCCCTATTGAAAACCCGAAAAAAGACTATGTATGTGTATAGCATCTATATATATATATATATATATATATTAAATTATATATTATATATTATATATTACATATTATATATTATATATTATATATTATATATGATATATGATATATGATATATTATATATTATCTATTATATATTATATATTATATATTATATTATATTATATATTATATTATATTATATTATACTATATTATATTATATTATATTATATTATAAAATTTTACATTATATTATGTTATATTATACTATATTATTTTATATTATGTTATATTATATTATATTATATTATATTATGTTATATTATATTATAATATAATATAATATATTATATTATATTATATTAATCTTAATGTTATATAAATTATGTTTTATTATATTATGTTTTATTATATTAAATTATATTATATTTTATTGTATTATATTATATTATATTATATTATGTTATATTATATTATATTATATTATATTATATTAAATTTCTTTATATTATATGTTATATACTAAATTATATATTATATTATATTATATATTATAGTGTATATTATATTATATATTATATTATATTGTATTGTATTATATACTGTATTATATATTATATTATATTTTATATTATATATTTTCTTATATTATATTATATTATGTTAAATTAAATTATATTATAATATATATTGTATTATTATATCCTATTATATATTTTATTGTATTATATTATGTTATATTATATTATATTATATTATACTCTATATATATATATATATGTACACATTTGTTCTTTCAAAACTCGAAATATGAGCCTCAAGGCCTGAAACTGCAGAGCTTTCATTGCAGTGGGGCCTGAAGAAAACTTGTAGAGGCCTTTCTTCCGGTTTCTAGGCTTTATGATGGGTTTTAGGGCTCGCATAAGCATTTCAAGGGTGAATGCTTCGAATAGGGCCTAGGTGCATAAAGACTATGCCCATTTAAGGGTTTCCAGGGTGCAGTTTTATTGATTTGTCAATCCAGCTTTTCGAGCGCTTTTCCAACACTGCTCGGGTTCGGGCCACTATGCATCAGGGTTTAACGTCTAAGGTCTGGCATCCAGGGTTTAGGATTTTCAGTTCCGGGCTTAGGGTTTATGGCGTAGGGTCTAAGGTCTATGGTTAGGATTTTCACCTTCGGGCTTGGGGTTTCAACCCTTCCCCGCCCCGCCAAATCCCGAACAAGAAGCTTCCTAAACCCTAAACCCTAAAGCCCCAAGCCTAAAGCCCTAGAGCCTGAACCCTAAACCCCCAGACCCTAAACCCCCCAACCCGAAAGCCCGAGGCCCTAAACCCCAAAACCCTTTTCCTGAGGATTTAAGGTTTAGGGCCTAGTTTAGGGCTGAGGGTCACACTCCCCTCCTCCCCCAAATCCCGAACCAAGAAGCTCCGGATTCCAACGGATCTCTAGCTCCGGGAAGCCCAGGTCGTCATCGGCCTCGAACCTTGGGATCGTCTTTGGGGTACCTTTAAAGGGATCCTTTAAGGGTTCCTTTAAAGGGATCCTTTAAGGGTTCCGTTAACGGATCTATAAGGGTTCTACAAAGGTTTTAGGGTTGAGAGTTGGATCCTTGAAGGCATTCGGGCGACTCTTGCTTTTAGGGTCGATTTTATGCCCTTTAAGGAAGTTTCCGAAAATTCGAGGTACCCTTTTTTGGGGCCCTTATAATAAGAATCCTACAGTTTAGGGTAGTATATTAGGGTCCTCCCATTTTCGGAAACTCCCAAATAAGGCTCGAGGCAGGTTTATGGAGGAGAGGTGTCGGTTTTGCTGTTCAGGATTTCGGATATAGGGGTTCCCTCAACCCTAAACCCAAAACATATATCAAGGGCTTTGCCTTCAGGATTGAGGGTTGGAGCCTGGTGTTTGCTGCGTCACGTTCCGGGCCCGACTCTGAAATTCACCCACCCGAAATCCCACAGCCGCATGACGCCTCTCACTAATATAGGGGCCTTCACATTTAGAATAGCGTTTGGGTCTATATTAGGAAGTGAATATAACAAGGACTGTAAGGGATAGTATTCCGTACTTGTATTCCGGCCCGTACAGTGTACGAGACGCGTCTCAACAGGCTTCCTGCCAAAAACAATGCCTTAGGGCCAAATGTGCAGGCCTCAGTAGTTGGAACAATGTCTTGGGAAGCGCTCGGTATACCCTGAGCCTAAATTCTCAAAGATTCTGGGCACTGAAACGAAGCGCAGACATCAAGACTACGAACGAAAAACTCCTGCTGCAAAAGGATATTGAGGGGCCAATACATCGGGTCCGCATTCAGCCTCACAAAAGCTTGAAAAGTGATCCAAGAACTTCCTGCGTTTCCCAACATTCGCAACAACTTTGCCTGCGCGAAATTCTACAAGCTCATGTAGATGCTATGAAGCCCATCCAAGTCTCTCTCGGAACTTTCTGGACCCTGAACCCAAAATCCGAAACCCTAAACCCCAAGCTATCAGGTTCAGGGTCCTTGAAGGTCCTTAAGGAGCCGGGGTATTTTGTGGGTGGGCCTGAGGGCTTAAGCTTGGTGCTGAAGGGTTTACAGTTCATTGTCCGGGTGTTAAGTTCGCCGGTTTTGGGTTAAAAGTTTTAGGGGGTTGGGAAATTAACGCGGGATACGAAGAAGCGCCGAACCCCAGACCCTAGTGCCCTAGTTTGAGGGTCAAGACGAGGAGCACAACTTCGTCCTGCTCGCCTTGAACGGAAGGGATATCCTGGAACGGATCCTGAGAGGCTGGCGTGATTACTGTTATGGGGTTTAGGGTTTAGGGTTTAGGGTATAGGGCAGTAGCAGAAGCAGTAGCAGTAGCAGCTGCAGTAATAACACAAGCCGTAGCAGTTGCAGTACCGAGTAGTTTTTAGTCGTCGTCGTAGTAGCAGTAGTAGTCGTCGTAGTCGTCGTAATAGTAGCAGTGGTAGTAGCAGAAGACGAAGAAGCAGCAGTAGTAGTAATATTACTAATGGTAGTAGTAATCGTGATAGTCGCAGAAGTAGAAGTAGTAGTACCAGTAGTAGGAGCAGCAGCAGGAGTAGTAGAAGCAGAAGCACTAGTAGTAGTAGTAGTAGTAGTAGTAGTAGTAGTAGTAGTAGTAGTAGTAGTAGTAGTAGTAGTAGTAGTAGTAGTAATAGTAGTAGTAGTAGTAGTAGTCGTCGTCGTCGTCGTAGTCGTAGTCGTAGTAGTCGTCGTCGTCGTAGTGGTAGTAGTGGTTTTGGCAGGTGGTAGTGGTAGTAGTGCTCGTAGTGGAAGAAGTAGTAGGAGCAGTGGCAGTAGTGGCAGCAGTAGCAGCAGCGGCTGCAGTGGTAGGAGTGGTAGTAGTGGCAGTAGACGTAGCGTAATATTCAGTGCTCGTGAGTGGCATTTCTGGCTTTCGACTTTGTGGTTTTTGCGAGTTTAAGCCTCGGATTTAGCATTTCTTTTACTGAGGAATGTTTATGTTTGAGGCGCAGCCTAGTTCTAGGCGCAAACTCGCGTCACCGACAAACCAAGCATAAGCTGATCAAGTTTAGGTAATGAGAGTTTTAAGTTTCGGGTTATCGTTTGGCGTTTAGTGGTTTAGAGTTGACGGTTTTGGAGCTTGGGCGATTATTTCCACGGGCCGCACTCGTAAACAGGCTTGTGATACCTGCAGAAACTCCAGGTGAATGTCGTAGGGCACTTCTGCTAAAAGCTCTGAAACCCTGCAAACATCTCAACACCACTGCGCCAAACATAAAACCCGTCTGAAACCCCATATAAGACTGCACAGCAAACATCCCAAACCCGATCCTAATCTCTAAACCCAAACCCTAGACCCTGAACCTGCTGTCTGCATAGCCAGGATCAGGTTCCGAGTCCTCTTCCTCCTCCTCATCGAAAGAATCGAGCTCCTCGGTGAAGCGGCTTAGGTTTTTAGGGTTTGGGGTTTAGGGGTGCAGGCCCTGAACCTTTCTGAAAGAGCATAGAGCCCTTCAATTTCATTCCCTCCCCCCACCCTCGCCCGTTTGGGGGGCCGACATCATCGGATATCATGGTGAGGTCAATCTTTTCGCCTCCGGGGGTTGCCACGAATTGGAGATTCAAGGCTCAGGGCAGAGAGTTTTGGGTTCGGGAGTGCACAAGGCGTGCTTCGAGGTTCGATGGACTTGGCTTGCAGGTTAGAGTTGGGAAACCCTAAACCCTAAACCCCTAAACCCTAAACCTGGGGTTTAGGGTTTAAGGTGCTATCGGGATTTCTGGCGTCTCAAACTTCCGGCGCCCCCTTCAACCCGAAACCCTCAACCTGACAAATCCAATCACCTGAAAGGGTTTTAAGGTTTAGTGTGACAGTTTGGGTTTAAAGCTAAAGTTAGCGCTTAAAGCCCAATTCCGAATAGTCAACCTCCTTGAAGCAGTCGGGCTTATGTATGCTTGACAGGTGCAAACCTAACCGCAGCTTGAAAGAAGCCGAGAGTCGTGGTTGGCGCAGTTGAGCCTAACAATCCGTAAGCTACTGAGTTCAGGGTTTAGAGTTTGTCCTGCATGAGGGTTTCGCATTTCGGGCTCATGTAGCGTTTCAAATTCAAGTCTTCGAAACCTTCAAATCGTCAAAATGAACCGTGCAAATTCCGAAAAGCCGGGAGCCAGACCAAGACATCCAAAAGCCCGCGACGAGATATCCCAAACCCTCAAGCCGAAACGACTTTGGGTTTAGGGTGCAGGAAGATAGCCCCGAAACCCTAAACCCTAAACCCCTAAACCCTAAACCCTAAACCACTAAACCCTAAACCCTAAACCCCTAAACCCTAAACCCTAAACCCCTAAACCCTAGTTCAAACTAAACCCTCAGCTTCTGAAGCTCTACACCTGCTCCTATAAGGGTTACCAGAAGGGTACTCTAATATAGGAGCTTTAATGATTACCTATACTGTTCCGTTAAAGGGTCCTATAAGGGTTACTAGAAGGATACTATAATATAGGAGCTTTAATAATTACCTATACTATTTTGGGGGTTCCTTATCATGGTTATAGTACCTGACAAGCCCGCGAAACCCCGAAGTGCCTTTCGGCTTCTGGGACGCATAGGCACACATCTTCATGGTCTTCCAGGTTTTCCTTGGCATAGGGTTTTTATAGAGTCCTTAAAAAATAGGAATAGGGCTTTGGGGCACATCATACTATAATCATGATAAGCAACCCCACAATAGTATAGGTAATTGTTAAAGCCCCGAACTATACTATATTATAGTACCCTTATAGGACCCTTTAAAGGATCCCTCTAATTACTAAGGCCCCTATCTTATGGGGCTTCGCACTTGGAGTTTCAGTCTTGCTGACAACTTCAGGCCCAAGGCCTAAACCCTGCCGACCTTCGGGCCCGAGGCCATGCAAAGAGACTCCAATATCCCCTAATTAAGGAATCTAGCTTAAATTATCTAGTAGGGTCCCTATGATGATATAGGGTACATTCCTTAACTAAGGAATGTACCTTAAATTATAGTAGGATACCTAGTATGATTTAAGGTATATTCCTTAACTAAAGAAGCTACCTGAAATTATCGTCGGATCCCTGTTATGGTTTAAGGTATATTCCTGTGTTACGGGATATTGGAGTCTCCGGGTAAGCCTCTAAGCCCTACCTAGCCTCTGTGAGGGTTCTGCTGCCGGCGGCTTTTTCTGTCACATGGGTGGCTTTCAACATTAGGGTCCCTTTCGGTGTCCTTTTTATAAGGGCGGCGTACTATTTGAGGACACTCCAAAGGGGCACAATCTAGAGAACTGCCCACATGCCCAACCATGCCAAGTAGCACCAGCAATGGCATGCAGAGTTGGTAATGGAAAGAACGACGAGATGTTGCAATGTCTCACGCAGGCATCTGCCAAAAACAACTGAATCGTCCCAAACCGAACCCTAAACTCCTACTGTGCATCTTAAGCCTAAACCCTTAACTCCAAAACTCGGCACCCTAAGCTCAGCCATGCCACGCGGTTTTGAGGCACCGCTTGTCCTCGTACGAGCACCCTCCCCAGTGGTCCTGGTCGGTCAGGGGTCTCAGGTGCCCTTAACCCTTACCTTAAACCTGAAGAACCTACCCGTTTTAAAGAATTATAGAATTATATAAAGAAATCATAATAAGGAACCCTGAAAAGGTAGGTTCTTCAGGCTTAGGGTAGAACTTGGGGTGTTGTATGCTATCTTTAAAATAAGGAACTCTAAGGCGCACTATTACCAACTTTTTTGGCGCCCATGACGGCCTTAAGGGTTTCGAAGAGCACAACCTTGAGAGGCTGAATCTGGACAAGAAGACTCTAAACTTTAAGCCCTACACCCTAAGCCTCTAAACCACGAACCCTTAAAGCCCAAACCCTAGCCCATAAACTACAGAGCATAAAAGCCGATCATAAATTATATACGGGGGAGCCATCAGGGGATGTTATTGCTAACGGTTTCGACCCAGATATGAGCGTGCTACACCGGGTTATCGAAGGCGCGGGGGCAGTGGAGCCGACACGCAGGGGGACTTGACACAGCGGCTCAAAGGTGTTGAGCGTCCGCCACTGCGAGCTAAACCCAAAACCGTAACCAACGCTAAACCATGAAAGCTTGGCCCTGTACCCTAAATAAACCGAAACCCGAAACTCCAGCCGAGAAAATTTTCGCAGTATATAAGAAGGCTTGTACACCGGGGACTCTGTCCAAAAGCAGCCCCGGGCGCTCCACAACCGCCAGACCGGGCTTTACGGGTTTCCACAAAAAATTTGACGGGCGTATTTGGGGCTTCATGGGTAGTTATAAGTGGGGTTATAAGTAAGGTAACTATAGTTATAACCCATATGAAGGGACTTATAACCCCACTTATAACTATCCATGAACCTCCAAGTAGGGGGCTTCATGGGGCATAATAGATTGCGGGTGTTGTTGTGCCTCTTGCAGCATCTCCGGGCAAAGTGGGAACTTCACTAGAGATGGGCAGTTGCAAGAAACTTCACTACACCTTCGTCGTGAGGATTACTTCTTATGAAGGAGGTTCAGGGCCTTGAATGTGGGACGTCAGGGTTGGTGGCTTTCGGAGTAAAGGGCTTTGAGGTTAAAGGCCTGGCTGTCGCATTTCTCCCTCTCAAAACCTCAGCTTAATTACAACAACAACTCACCTCAGAAAGCTGGTCGTCTTGCTTCGGCCAGAAGTTTCGTTCATTGCAGGAGTGGAGTACACGAGCGTTAGGATGCAGGTCCCGTAGCTTCGAGATTCGCACACTTTAGGCTTGGTGCCTGTGAGAGCCTAGATGTGCTAATCAGAACGACAGTCTCAACCCGACTAGCGAGATCAGTCATAGTAGTTCTGCGAACGTCAAAGTCGAAGTGAGAAATGGGAGTTTCCGAAAATGGAGGACCCTAATATAGTATCCTAAATTGTAGGATCCTGATTATGAGTATAACGACCCCATTTTCAGGTACCCCTAATTTTCGGAAACTCCCAAATGGTAGTGTAGTGTCATACCTAACAGCGGAGGAGCTTTTGGGTTGCTGGCATTGACAAACCCTGAAACCTGAAACCTAGAACCCCCAACTGCAACCTCATATTGCCCCAAATCGTTCCTGAAGTGCTCCTTAGAAGAGTCTCCGGCCTTAAGTGAGCCCTCAAGTTGAGGGCGGCTACAGCCCGGTAGCCTGAACTGTCCGTTCCCAGCTGTCCTGCTGATTTGTAAACCCCAGGTTTAGGGTCTGAGGGGTTTGGGGTTTAGGGGTTTAGGGTTTAGGCTGTTGGTAACTTTACAGGTTTGAGGCTTCGGCTGCAGGTTGTTTAGGGTTTAAGGTTTAGGGTTTAGGGTCATTGGGGCTTCGAGGTTGAAGTCGCCAATTCGATGCGCAGGGGTCGCCAGCATCGGACTGTTAGTAAGCAATTTGGGGGTTTCCGAGAAGTAGGGGTACCTTATTTGGGCTCCTTACAGTAAGGATCCTACTGTTTGGGGTAGTATATTAGGGTCCCCTATTTTCGGGAACTCCCATTTTTTCTGCGTTGGGTCCACACTAAAAAGCCCCAGCCCTAAAAACCCGCAAGCCCTGAACCGGAGTTGCGCTGCCTCCGTTGAGAGCCCCACACTCTTGCAGGTGTGCTTCCTCTCCGGGGAGGCTTATGGTTTAGAGTTTAGGGCTTAGGGTTTAGGGATTTCACGGAGGGGGCGAGTGGGGTGGCCGGTGGTGTAGAGTTTAGTTGCGACTTGATGTGCTGCCACTGGCATAGGGGGGTATGGTGTCCGGGCTGTGGTGCTAAAAGTAACAACCCTTAAACCCTGCCTGCAACCTGCCTGCAAACCCTACACTCGACACCTAGACTTCTCTCACAATCCAATAATTCAGCCGGACATTACCCTCAAGGCCAGAACAAGTATGTAAATTCAAGTTCCTGGACGCCTTTGTGCGAAACTCCTGGCACATGTTGACGAAAAACTACCAGCGACAGTTTTGCAACACAACAACGGCAACAGCAACAACAACAAAATAATAAGAATACCAATAACAACAACAGTAACAAGACCAACAACAGTAACAACAACAACAACGATGAATAACAATGAATAACAATAACATTAATGAACATGTCAGAAGCAGGGTCCACGATAGTGTTTACCATAGCCGTGCAGCGAAAGCCACAACAACACCAACAACCGGATTGGAAAAAATGGCGGGTGATGATGCCAGAGGTGGCGAAGATGAAGATGCAGAAGAAGAAGAAGAAGGCGATGATGATGATGATGATGATGCTGATGATGATGAGGAGGAGGAGGAGGACGATGGTGGCGATGAGGACGATGAAGACGATGACGACGACTATGATGACCATGGTGAAGACGATGGCGACGATGCCGATGATGATGACGATAACGATGAAGATGATGATGGCGACGATGGCGATTAATATAGTACTGATGATAACAATGACGATGGTGATGTTAATGGTGACGATGATGATGATGACGGTGATGGTGGTGAGAAGAACAGGAGCACAAGTAAGAACAAGGATAACGGTCGTCTCACCCTCGCAATCACAACAACATTACTTCGCATTAGCAACAACTATCAATAACCGCAGCCGTAGCAGTGAAAGGACAAAGAACCCGGCCTGTGATCTTGGATCTTCACGTCGCTATTTGGCAGATCACGCAATTGGGTCTTCCCCCGGTGGATATGCCTGGATGTGTCAGGCATGCAAAGGGCTTAGTGTTTGGGCCTCGAGGCCAAGTAAGAGTTCGGGGCTTACAGTTTAGTGTTTTGTGGCTTGGGTTGGGGGATCGATGTTTAGGGTTCAGGGCTTAGGGTTTAGGGTATGTAGGGCCTCATAAGATGCCTGGACAACTGGACTCGGGTTTTGCGGGGCTCTGCGCCCTCAATGGAATCGGGAACTGCTTGGAGTACTCTCACTAGTGTCACTAGTTAATTACAAAAGCTACATCCTTGGGTAACCTCCCGCCCCATCCTTACTGTTGGGTACTGAATCCCTGAACTTATATAAGTGTGCCCCAAACGGCTGAGTCGCAGAACAACAAAACCCCAAAGCCATGCACTTGGACCAAGTTTGGGAGTTTCCGAAAATCAGGGGTACCTTCAAAAAGATCCTTAAAGGGATCCTTAGAGGGATCTATAAGGGTTCTATAGAAGGTTTAGGGTTTAGAGTTTCCGAAAATTAGGGGTACCTCATTAGGGGGTTCATATCATAAGGATCCTACTTTTTTTAGGGTACTATATTGGGGTCCCCTGTTTTCCGAAACTCCCATATCTGCTTATCTATACCCTACAAACGTATGGTCCCTCGCTAGAACCCAATCAGACCCGAAACCGTCCTTAAAGGATCATCGGACTTAGTAACTAGGGTTATAACTAGGGTAACTGTACTTATAATTACTTATAACCCCAATTAAGGTACCTATACCCTGACTTACTAAGTCCCATGATCCTCCAAGTATAGTCTGGGGGCCTCAATACTAGAACGAGCTTCCGGGGATGGCATACTATAAGAACAGGAAACAACCCTTAGGAACAATACTAGTAATCACTCACCCTAAACCCTAAACCCCAAAAGCCCTAAAGCGATGTCACACTATTGGTTTCCCGAAACCATAAACCCTAAACCAGTTCTCGAACCCTGGATTCAGAGCCCAGCTTCTTAGAAAGGGTGCAAGCAGGTACTCTTGGAATTCTGTAAAGGCACTATCTGGGCTTTACAAGGGTACTGTAACGCAGAGGGTTTAGCGCTTGTGGTTTTTAATGACGAAAGTTTAGATTTACGGTTTGGCAGTATGATAGAACGTGTTTAGGGTTTACGTAGGGTTGGGGCGCCAGGTTCCGAGATGAGGTTTACGGATTCCGAAGCGAGTTGGGCCTTGACAGCTACTGTAAGCGGCTTTGGATGCCTATAAAACCTCACCTAGTCTGGACCCGAACATTCGACTTGAAAACATCTATGCAGAGCGAGTACAGGTTTTCTCCTGCAGCCCTACACGTTAAACCCCAAACCCCAAGCCCTAAACCTCTAATCCCGAACCTTTGGCGCTTCACCACCATTCCAGATATCGGCCTGGCCCAAACCAACCCTGAACCCAGTAGGCTATGGCCTGAAGAGCTTCACACAACATGAAAAAAGAGAACCTCTACTCTCGATGCCTTGATAGTCAGAACAAGGTTTTGGCCTCATATTAAGGTTTAGGGTTTAGGGTTTAGGGTTTAGGGCTCATATGTGGGCGTTTCAATAGAGTGATGTGTGTAAGGTACCTAGTTCAGCCCCCTCCTGCGATGCTGATCACGCTGCAAGCAGTAACAACTACCCACGAGGCTTAGGGGGCGCTGGAGTTTAGGTTTTTTTTGCGTCCGCACAGGACGACAACTTTTAGGTTCATGGGTAGTTATAAGTGGCTTGTAAGTCCCCTAATATGGGTTATAACTATACCTACCTTACTTATAACCGCACTTATAACTCCCCATGAACCCCCAAGCAGACCCTAAACCCTATACCCTTATAGATTCCCTATAGATCCCGTTAAAGGGACCCGTATAGGAACCCTTATAACTCCACATGAACCTCCAAGAAGTCATGTTTGGTAAACCCGGGCAGGCCAGGACACCCGGAATCGACGTCGCCGACGCAATCGTAGGTCTCGGTAACACCCCTGGGAAGAAACGCGGCTCATAACAAGCAATAACACGGGCCTTTTTGTTGAAAACAACAAGTAAATTGGATACCAAGACAACCGGAGCAACAACTAAGACAAATCATGATGGTGATGTCAGTGCCACTAGTTCTCGAGCTTCGCTGCCATCTACAGCTAGAACTATCCACACAGGCATGGTTCTTACGAGTGTTTGTAGCACTTTGGATGTTGCACACAGCCAGGATAGCAACAATTTGCGGTTCAGGGTATACCCTAGGGTTTAGGGTATATGGGGTTTAGGGCGTAGCATTTAGGGGGGTCATTCGGTATAGGGCTTAGGGTACAGGGCTCAGCGTTTAGGGCTTTAGGGACTCGGGCTGCAGGCTTCGGGTTTGGGGCCTTTGGCCCTGAGCCTTCAAAGCCTCTGCAAGGGTAAAAGGAGGGACGCTTAATAAGGACCCCTAGGTATATTCCTTAATATAGCTATTGTATACCCATTATATAGCCCATTATAGGGTAGGGGTCCCCATTAAGGGTCCCTCCTGGTCCACAAACCCTACGGCCGTAAGTGTGACGAAAGCCGGAACACTGCGATCTCCACCCCGAGCTTCTAAAACTCTCAACCCTAAACTCAAAACCCTACACCATGATGCCTTAGAAGCTGCCCCCACCCTGTAATAGTGACTATAAGGATTATATTAGGGCCCTATTATATTGCTATTATACCGCTATTACAGGGTGGGGGCCCCTTCTAAATGATACCCCAACCCTGATCACTCTTGCCCTTTCAACTAGGCGATCGGAAGCCTCAAAACACTTCGGTACTATAGGGGCCATAAGAATTACCTATTCTGTGTGTTTTTGGGTGGTTTCCTTATTGTAATTGTAGCATAATGGTCCCCAATACCCTATTCTAATCATTAAGGCCCGTTTCTTCTAGAACCCTACTATAGATCCCTTTAAGGGAACCCTTATAGAGACCCCTTTAACGGAACCCCTATTCTAACTGTTAAGGCCCCCATAGCATAAGATCCCTTTTGGATTCCTAGCTCTCCCGGGCCGAGAGCTTGAAACCCCACCCTTTTAAAGCCGTCTATGATACCCTTTAGAGAACAAGTTCAGGTCAAGCTTAGGTTTAGGGTTTAGGGTCTAGGGCCTAGGGCTTCTATGATACCCTTTAGAAAACAAATCTAGGTTTAGTACCTTAGAATACCTGTCTTGAACCCTTAAAACCCTGTGAGATGTTGTGCGGTGAGAAAATTGCGTTTTCAATCACCAAAAAAACCAAAAAAAAACTTTAAACCTTAAACAATAAGCAATAAACGGCCCTAAACCTTGAACCCTGCGCCCCTAAGCCCGAAACCCACAACCCTCAACCCAAAGCCCTAAACCCGAAACCCACAACCCTGAACCCGCGAGAGTCCACGAACCGCACAGCCCTGAACCCTGAACCCCGAAACCTCCAGCCCCCAAACCTAAAATAGCAATACTACTAATAATAGTGGTAAACATGTTATTAAAAAGTATAACTACATAATACAAATAGCAATAACAATGGTGATACCAACATGAGCCCAAGACGCATCTTGCACACCTCGAAGGCGGCGAGAGCCGATGTCGGCTTCAAGGGGCGCACCCTGCACTCTCGAAAGAGACTCGGGTTTCGGGGTTTAGGCTTTATGGGTTAGGGTTTACCTTTCGGGGCTTAGGGCTTAGGCTTTAGGCTTTATGGTTTAGGGTTTACCCTTCGGGGTTTAGGGCTTAGGGTTTAGGCTGTATGGTTTAGGGTTTATGTTTCGGGGTTTAGGGCTTAGGGCTTACGGTTTAGGCTTTATGGTTTAGGGTTTATGTTTGGGGTTTAGAGCTTCAGGGGTTTAGGGTTTCGGGGTTTAGGGCTAAGGGTTCGGGGGTTAAGGTTTAGGCTGTGGGCTTTAAGTCTTTAGGGGTCATCCTAACGGTAACACCGAAGCCTTTCTGACTAGACGTGGTTTCGGGTAGACTAGAATTTAATCATATAGGGACAGTAATACTACTTGCTTTGGCTTCTATCCCAAAACCTAAACCCTATACCCTAAATATCCCAAAACCTAAACCCTAAACCCAAAACCCTAAAGGCTTTGGGTCTAGAGCTCCGGGCCTCCCGGGGACGAGTAGGGTTCTAGTGCCTTTATGGTCTAGGCCTTCAGGCTTTCGGGTTTAGGGTTTAGGGTTTAGGGTTTAGGGTTTAGGGTTTAGGGTTTGGGGTCTTGGGTTTAGGGTCTGGGGTTTAGGGCTTTCCGGGGTTTTAGGCTCTAGGCTTTAGGGGCAAACCTAAAACCCGAAGCCCCGAAACCCTACATCTCAAGCCGCTCAGAGCAAGCAGGAACCACGAAGGATCTCTTAAAGGAAAGGAACAGTCCACGGAACCTTAAACGAACCCCTAAACCCTAAACTCTAAGCCTTAAAGGAACCCATGGAACTGAATCCGGATGAGTCCAGGGCGCTTCTGCCAGAGCCGCAGGATGTTCCCGAGGCCGGTGAGATCGCTCCAGACGCGATCGAACATCTCGTGCTTCCTGGTGATATACATATAGAATAAGTATAATGAATACTTAATGTATGTATATAGATGTAGGTATAAAATACAGATATAGTTATAACCATACATATACACACATGTGCATCTGTATCTGCACCTTAGCTGTATCTATATCTTTATCCTAGTCTGGTTCAGGGCTTAGCGTTTTGGGCTTACGGTGTTCAGGTTTGTGGTTCTACGGTTGAGAACTTTGGGTGCTAGGAAAAGGGGCTTGAGGTTCTTCGGGTTTAGGGTTTAGGGATGCTGGTTAGGTTTAAGGGGTTTAAAGCTTACGGTTGAGAGTTGGGCTTTCTTGGACTTGAGCGTTTCTCTCGGTCCCTAAACACCCTAAACACCCTAAACACCCTAAACCCTAAACCCTAAACCCCAGACCCTAAACCATAAACCCTGACGGACCCTGCGCCCAACAGACTGACAGGCCACCAGAGGTAGAATCCCAAGCACGACCTCAAGATGAACTCTTAGGGGCTTAGGGGATTCGGGTTTAGGGTTTAGGGTTTAGGGTTTAGGGTCAGGCACAACAGCAGAAACCTCTGAAACATATGGCAGGGACATTAATTAATACCTGCGCCCTTAACACTAAGCCCTAAACCCAGGTATGGGGCATTGAGGGACATGGCTTGAAACTCTAAACCCTGAACTCTCAGCCCTAAGCCCAAGTATGGAGGATTGGACTCCGACATCAAGCCTCTGATGTGATTCTTTTGTCCCCCCACGCAGCACACATCAAACTGGCCACCCTGCATCCTTGCATGGGTTTAGAGTTAAGGTTTTAGAGTTTTGGGGTGTAAGGGTTTAGGCTTTAGGGTTTTAGGGTTTAGTGTTTCATGTCAGGGTTTGAGGTTTTAGGGCCACTCTGGTCTTGCAAGTGCAAGATCCAGGGTGTCAGTATCGGGTCTGCAGAGTTTAGTGCTCCTGGGCTTGTTTCGAAAAGGGTTTTGGGTATATCCTAGTATACTTCTGTAGGGACTTTAAGGCTAGTATACTTCTATAGGGACTTCAAGATGGTGGTATTGTTACTATAGGGGCCTTAAACATCAGAATACGGTTTGGGGGTCCCTGCTACAAGTCAAGTATATATTTATAGTATATGTTTCTAGTATATGTTTTAGTACATAATCATAATACATATTTCTAGTAACTGTATATATATATATATATACTGTTATCGTACATATTTAGAGTATATATTTAAAGTATATATATTTAAAGTACATATCTATACTCTATATTTAAAGTATCTGTATATAATATATGTTTACAGCATAATATACCCCGAGGTGGTGGGGATTCTGGGTTTGGAGTTTTGGGTCTAGCGCTGAGCAGTCGCCTTCTTTGGGGGCAAGGCTGAAGGGTCTGGGGCTTTCATCGAAAGCTCTGCATGTCCTTTACGGTTCAGGGTTTAGGGTTTAGGGTTTAGGGTTTAGGGTTTAGGGAATTAGTTCCCCAAACCTTGCACCCTGAACCCTCAACCCTGCACCCGAAAGCCTGAATCAACAAGACGAGGGTCGAACTGCTGCATGTGAATGAGCTTTTCCAGCAGGACTTGCTTTTGACGGCCTGAGCATGCCTGGGCACACGATTCGAACCCAGCGCCAACATAGACCAATGGTCAGTAAACCATCTTTCTTGGTAAGGATTGGATTAGAATCATTCGAAATCCGAGCATTAAGGCCCGCAAACAAATATTCTTCAGGGATTTGCATTAGCATTATCCTGTTCAGCCTACGTGAAATGCTGTCAGGCTTCTGATTCACGGGAAATGCAACCCTGAGCCGTGCACCATCAAGCCTAAAAATGGAATGTCTCCGTGTCATGCTTGGAGGATCATGGGTAGTTATAAGTAGGGTTATAAGTCCCCTAATATGGGTTAGAAATATACTTACCCTACTTACAACCCCAATTACAACTCCAAGTAGATAAACTCCTCTCGGGGGTCGGCTTGAGCGTGCGGGACGCCAAGGCCTTGAGGCTGTTGTCCAACTGCGCACACAGATTCCAGATATGGGGCCTATGGCTGCATATTGTGAGTACGAAAACAATGACGATTTCTATCATTGTTAGTACTCCGTATTACTATTATGGTTTTTGTTGTTGTGGCGGTAATTGTAATTAATATTGTTAACGTTATGAAATATTATGAGAAGTCGAGTTCTTAGTATTGCTGGATTCCTTCCTGAAGGGGTCACAGGGCTCGCGTTGGAAAATTTGTCCAAGGCGCGCGATCCGTCGCATCAGGGAGTAAGTCACCTCAGTTCGTTTTGGTAATTTTCGATAATTTTCGACGGGATAAGAAGTGAGATGAGGTGAGGCTCTATGTGAGGCTCATGATTTTTACGATGCACATGCTATCTGTGCCGTATCGGTCATGACGATGATGGCGATGATGACGCGTGCTGATACAGATATGGGTTTTCTAACATTACCCCAATGGTAGACCCCTGACATAAAAACCGCTACTTGAGATGCTCTCAAAGATGAAGGCGATCCGTCACGGATTCTCTGTATTGGTAGTAGTAGGAGGGTAGTAGTAGTAGTAGTAGTAGTAGTAGTAGTAGTAGTAGTAGTAGTAGTAGTAGTAGTAGTAGTAGTAGTAGTAGTAGTAGTAGTAGTAGTAGTAGTAGTAGTAGTAGTAGTAGTAGTAGGAGTAGTAGTAGTAGTAGTAGTAGTAGTAGTAGTAGTAGTAGTAGTAGTAGTAGTAGTAGTAGTAGTAGTAGTAGTAGTAGTAGTAGTAGTAGTAGTGTAGTAGTAGTAGTAGTAGTAGTAGCAGCAGCAGCAGCAGCAGTAGTAGTAGTAGCAGTAGTAGTAGTAGTAGTAGTAGTAGCAGTAGTAGTCGTAGTAGTTGTAGTAGTAGTAGTAGCAGTAGCAGTAGTAGTAGTAGTAGTAGTAGTAGTAGTAGTAGCAGTATGAATCGTGACTATCATCACCAGCGTTCTGTGGATTTTTTGCACCAGCACTAGCAACATCATTCTTACTAGTCTAACTTCTACCACTGCTATTACTATTGTTGTCATTCATGTTCTCAGTGTTGCTCCATGTTCTTTATGGCCATAACCGCCACCATGTCGTCAGTGTCAACATCATCAAAAGAAGCAGCATCACCCTCGTCGGCACTATCGTCATCGTAAAACCGTAATGACGCAAACAATGCAGCCGAGTGCACATTGTTCTCGCAGGAGGGCAGATGTGGATCGCAGGAGATCTGCCGCGAGGATGAGAACTTTCGTTGCAAGCAAAAAGGAAGGAAAGCGGAGTTTCGACTACCCAAACCCGAACAAACAACCCGGAACCCTAAACCACTCTGACGCGGCTGTCAACAGAATAGTTTGCGGCCAGTACCGAGGGGCTTCAACATTTAGAATTGGGCTTGGGGTATAAAAGACGATCATGTAGAACCCCAAAGAATGGGATTTTTCATTGTTCCGACCCCTATCTTACAGTGTGCTTCTCTAGCTCCGAAAGAGCTTCGGGTGTTGGTTTAAAGATCTGAATGTAGACCCCTGATTAACGGTGTTGCTGCTGCTGCTATCTGCTATCGCCAATGTTGGCATTATCAGCACGATACCATGCCTGCGTTTATTGCGGATTCAGCTCACGATAACACTTACTATGCTCTTTGCATCTACAACAGCCACCGCTGTGATCGCTACCACGACCACTTGCCACGACTCGACCCCCAGAATCCTTACTTCCACGACTACTACTTCGAAGTGCTGCTGCTCCTGCTTCTGGGTTTGAGATTCCCAGAGCGCCCAATACCCCTTAATTAAGGAATACAGCTTAAATCATAATATGAAGCCCTACAGAATTTAAGCCATATTCCTTAATTAAGGGGTATTGGGCTCTTTGGGTTCCGCGCTCAGAGTGACTGCTACCAGACTCCTCTTGCCCCAGGCAGGCGATGGCCTCGTGCATTAAATTCCCGGAAACACAGCACTTCGAGACGATGTGCTCCACCGCCCACATGCACATGTCGCCTCGTCACGGATTCTTGGAGTGCTCTGAAGCAGTGACAGGTTAAGGGTTGCGTCCTTCAAGGTTCAGGCTTTAGGGTTTAGCGTTTAGGGTAGGTGTTGAGTACCCTAAACCCTAAACCCCAAACCGGCTGAAACACTTTAAGCCGAGGTCTCCATGCATGGCCGTTGTGCAGATGATTCAAGACGAGGGATCTCCAGAATGAACACCATAATAGCTTAGCAGCTCCCCCACCCTGTAATAGGGGCCTTATAGGGTTTCTTTAAAGGGATCCTTAATGGTTCCTTTAAGGGATTCTATATTAGAAACTGCTCCCCCGCCCTGTAATAGTGACTATGAGGATTATAGTAGGGCCCTGTTGTATTCCTATTATACCACTATTAGAGGGTGGGGGCCCCTTCTAAATAATAGCATTGGTAAGTTTCCCAAATTAGCATTACTATAGTGAATAATATTCGAATTAAACTGACAGTGTTAGTATTGTGGTAATGAATCATATTCGATTTAAACTGACAGTATTAATATCGTGGTGTGGCCCAACCAGTAATGTCTTGTGAGCAAAGAGGTAAGAGAGAAGCCTGACCGCTGGACTGGAGGCTTTCGGGTTGCTGCGCTACAAATCGTTCAGGGAGCCCTGACAAAAAAAAACACAAGCACATTCTTACTTATGCAAGCCCTGATCTAGAAGTTTTAGTTACGCAACAGAAACCAGAGTAAGGATGTAGGTGATATTAGGCTATACCTGATCTTCACCCTCTCATGACTTCCTTATGTAAGTCCTTAAAAGGGTAGGTTGTCCCTAAACCCCAAACTGTATTTGGGGTTGAGGTAGTTATGGGAAATGCCAAAACCCGGAAGACCGGACGCCCTTGATCCTCAATCCTAAGGCCCCCTACACCCTCTGTAACACGGTTTAGGGTTTAGGGTTTAGGGTTAATGTAGACCCTCAACCCTAAAGCCCTACAGTAAACCCCAGAAAGTTGGAAACCGCATTAAGGCCAAATAGTGCTGGGATTCCCTATACATTAACTCTTAAGGATTGAGGCTCACTAAAGCCCCAACCCCTAAACCTTAAACCCTAAACCCCTGAAGCTCAAGCCCCTGCGCCCCTCTACACCCCATATTGAGCCTCCCTTGTCAACCCGAAAGCCCCTCTGAAGGGATGACAGGTCGCAGATCTCGTCATCGTACCGACCCTCGGAAAGCAGCTGCATCAGAGTCTTTCGGGTTCTCTCAGATTTTATCTTGCCATACACACTGTTTCACATCAGATTCTTTCGGATTTTCTCCGATTTTATCTGGCTTTACAGATTGTTTCACCTCAGACTCTTTCCGGTTTACTGAGATTTTTGTCTGGCTTTACGGATTGTTTAACGAGGCTTGGATGTTACAAACCCCTTACCATGGGTTTGTCTAAGATTTTCACACGGCTTCATACAGGTTTTGGAAGGGTTGTGGAGAGTTTGGAATCCAGGGTGTGGGTAACAAGTTGTTGTCTAAGGGCTTCACTGTTTGGGTTTTAGGGTTTAGGAGTTTAGGGTGCGATGGTTGTGCTAAGTTTAAAGATGGAAGCTGACTAGACTTGGTATCCTGCAGTCAGGGTCTAGGGCTAGGCAGCCCGCATCAGATGATGAAAAGCTGAAGTTCAGGATTCAGGGTTTAGAGTTTAAGGTTAAGGGTTTAGGGCTTAAGGTTTAAGATTAAGGTTTGGGGTTTAGGGGCTTTTGCAACAGACTCTGCAGCACCGAGACGGCTACGAACTCGGACCAACTGAATTTCATAAGTTCCGCCGTCCAAGAAGCCGAGAGCACAAGAAAGAAACAATTGCAAACCTAATACACACCAAGTGAGCTTCTGACAGCATGACGCAATCACCAACCCCTCAACCCTCACTCAGCTCGAGTCTATGACCCTGAATGCACAAGGACTGCTGCATAACCACTAAACCCTAAAACCCTAAACCCCTAAAACCTATACCCCTAAACCCTAAACCCCTAGACCCCTAGACCCTAGACACCTAAACCCCTAAACCCCTAAACCCTAAACCCCCTAACCCTAAACCATATCACCCATCCTTGCTCGGTTCGTCGCCGTCGACTTGGCTAGACGTGTTCGGACCGGGCCGTTACTTTGGGAACATATAACTCGAATGGACGGTTTAGGGTTTAGGGTTTAGGGCTTAGGGTTTAGGGTTTAGGGGTTTAGGGTTTAGGGCTTCGGGCTTAGGGGTTTAGGGGTTTAGGGCTTAGGGGTTTAGGGTTTAGGGGTTCAGGGTTCATTAACTAGACAGGTGACCAGCGTAGTATAAAGTATAGTAGTATAGGTATTCAAGCCACTACATGCCTTTACTCTGAGGTGCTCCAGTCAGATCTTCCGTCTCTGCCACTTCGAGCTCCGAAGACGGTCTCAATGTCTCGGGCCTGAAGCGGTTTTCGGGTTTAGAATCTAGGGTTTAGGGTTTTGAGCTTTGGAACCCGAAACCACCCAAAAGCCGATCGTGCGGGACTCTTTCAGCTGCTACCTGGTTTCCACGCGGAGTTCGAGCCCTCGTTGTGTCGTGTTGCAGTGGTCACCCACGCCTGCGCTAAGGTTTGATGTCTCCGTGCGCAGCCCCAACTATGTCCAAGAAAAACGCTTACCTGGACCCTGGAAGATCTGCCGTTCAATACTTAAGGATTGATAGAAGTAGAGCTCACAACAAGGAACCCTTACAATGCCGTGTTGTGGCACCGCTTTGTGCACAGGTACACGTCTTTTACTACTACGGCCCAAGGTGTGTGCTGGTGGCGGGAGTTGGCGGGTGGGGGGGGGGGCAGGCCTCCGCTGAAAGGGAGCCCGGTGATCTTCGTCATGCATCATCGCGGGCTCCAACATCTGCGGGACAGGGCTTGGGGTTTGGGGATTATATAAGAGTTTAGGGTGTTGGGCTTGTGGGAGATTCGACTGTCGGGCTGTTAAATGCTTCAGGATTCAGCGTTCAGGGTTCAGGGTTTGGGGTTCTGGATTCTGCGTTCAGGGCCTAGGGATTCGGTTTTGGGGTTGACGATTCGGGGCTCGGGGCCGTAAAACCTGAACCCATCCGCTCACCTTCAAGCCTTTCAAGGCACCGGAGTGGTCTAAGCCGCTCGCGGTTGGCAAACCCTGAACCCCAAAACCCTAAACCCCCCATGCCTACACCGGAAGCCTGAACCATTAACTCTAAGCTCCAAAGCCAAAAGCCAAAGCCCTAAACCCTCAACTCCAAACGGGCTAAAGCCTAAACCCTGAGTTTAAGCTTTGATCGTCCCGGGTTCTTGTGAAGGGTTCTATAAGGGTGACCATCGGATATAGTATATAAAGGCTTAGTATACGGGCCCCTGCATGTAAAGTAGGATTTGGGGGAGTGTGTTATCGTAAAGTTCTACGAAGCTGCGCAATTATTCAAGCTTTGAGATGGGTAGTTCTCTAGATTAAGGGTACTACTTTGGAGACCTACAAGAAACCCCTAAGTTAGACAATTGCCCTCATAATACCCTTATAGAAACTGTATAGAAACCCTTGTAGATCCGTTTAGGGAACCCTAAAAAGGAACCTTAATCTACCTATAATCGCAACCCTCAGACCCAGCCAGCCTCTAATCTAACAGCAAACCCAAAGTCAAACTCAAGCGATCATTTTAGGGTTTGGAGTTTAGGTTTGGGCTTGTAGGGCTCAGGGTGTAGGGTTTAGGTTTGGGGGTTTGGGGTTTAAGGCTTATCCGGAATGCCCGAGGGTTCAGGGCGTCGGGTTTAGGTTTGAGATGTAAGGTTTAGAGGTCCGGGTTTGGGGTTTGTGGTTTAGGGTTTTGGGCTTGAGGTTTACGGTGCGTCCCCAAACGAGCTCAAAGGGCCAAAACAGGCCTGCAAGAAGGAGTTGGCATGTAGCGAGGGGCCATTTCGAGTGCCTGAAACATCGTTCCCGAGATCTTCGAACGAGTTTTGGGTTTCGGCACTGTCTGGCTTAGGCTGAAAGAACATTGCAAATAGGATCAACAAAATTAAACCAATACTTTTGCAACAAGGCTACAGAAAAAACTCAGGTGGAGGGAGCAAAAACAAAATTATATTTGTATCAAAAATAATTAAGCTGGTCGTAGTAGTCCCGCAATATTTACATAGGAAAACCACGAATTTCGGCGTGTTTAAGATATGTGAGGAACCGGAATCGCCAAATGAAGTGGCGTGTTTAAGATATGTTATGAACAAGAAACGCCAAATGAGAAAGAATCGCGGTTGATCCACAGTTCGAACTCGGTGGTTCGCCCGCCAATTTTGTTGGTCTTCTTGAAGTGCACGAGCCTCAGCAGACACGGCTCGCAATCAGCCACTAAGCACCGAGCGGACGCCGAGCTGAGGCGTACACACGAGGCCATGGGAAGTCGTCATGCAGTGCTAGCGCAGCTTGACCAACACCGAATTCATGGCGTGGACTGCCAGGGTCTCGTATGCCAGTGTAGTCGGCAACGGTTGCAACGTGTTGTATACCGCTTCGTAATCAATGAGCCTGGCCACCTGGGCAAGACAGGCAAGGTGCTTGGGCGTGCAGACCGTGCGACCGGCCCCAGGCATGCAGCCACACCTCTGGTTCCGGAAAAGCGAGGCTGTCCCAATGCTCGCCGACAAACGTCGCCGTATTGTTACATCTTGCGCAAAACGGACGCCTGTCCTGGACACGACACTGCGCAGGAACACATGAAATTCAGATAATAACTCTCGGCAAGCCGCTCCAGAGTGTTCTTGCTGCGCGGAGCAAGGGCCATGCTCACAACAGACAGACGTCATGTCCAAAGCCATGCGAGCAGCGACAGCGTGCAGCTGACCCCACTACTCGAAGCAGGCTCTAGACGCCGGACGAGTTCTGCGACTGCGCATGTATTCGAAGGCGCGACCTGGCACTGCACTTGTGGCAGACAAGGTTGCCTGCACGAGCTAGACAAACAGCTACAGAAAAAATTGAAGGGGAGGGATCCCAAAAAAAGTTGTATCAAAAAAAAATTAAACGGGTCGTAGTAATCCCTTAGTAATTACATAGGAACACTATGATTTTTCGCTATGTTTTCATAGGAAAACCTTTATTTTCTCTATATTTTAAAGCAAAAGCCTTTATTGTCGGTGCCGGGATCACGTAGCCACCACAACCGGGGCCCCTTAGCCACTGCGAGTCCGCACCGTTTTGGGTCTCGAACCAAATTTCGGGGTGGCTTGGCCACCGGCTTCCGGATTCAACTTCAGGATTCAGGCTTTCAGCTTCAAACCTTGCCGGATGCATCATGAATCATATATCTTAAACACGCCCCCCTCATATGTTCCTCATATATTTTAAACACGCCTCCTTACCCCTCGATTCCGGTTCATCATACATCTTAAACATGCACCTTTCGCGATTCGGGTTCATCATATGTCTTGAACACGCCCCCTCATTTGGCGATTCCGGTTCATCATGTACATTAAACACGCCATATCTACAACACGCCCCCTCACAAGGCGGTTCCGGTTCATCATATGTCTACCACACGCCGCCTCATTTGGCGACTCCGGTTCCGAATAGACCTACAACACGCCTTCTCACTTGGCGTTTCTTATTCGTAATATATCTTAAACACCCCGCTTCATTTGCCGATTCCGGTTCCTCATATATCTTAAACATGCCCCTCGTTTGGCGATTCATCATTGCGACTACAACTAAACCCTAAACCGTAGCGTGAAGGGGTTTAGGGCGGTTCAGGGTCTAGGGCTAGGGTCTCAGGAACCGACCCCCAGAACCCAACAAAAACGCCCACAGCACACTCAAATGCGAAGACCCTCAGTTCGCCGAAACTTTCGAAGAGACGAAGGAAAGGTTTGAAGGTGCGCCGCGTCCCTAATTCAAAACCAAGCCGGCCGCGGCCCGTCCCAAAAAATATCCCCAAGCCCCAGAACACCTAAGTCCTAAAACCTGAACCGTAAGCCACACTGAACACCTAGCCTCAACTCCAGCCTGGAGCCTTCAGAGAGCCAAGTATGCCTTAGGGAAGGAGTTGACTCCATAACTGAGACGACCTGCACCCGAAACCACAGCAGAACATGTCTCTGCTCCCTCAATTCTTCAGCAAAATCCAGCTGGAGGACTGTGCAGGCTTGTGGGTGGTGGGCTGACATGCGCAGGGCGGGAGGCTACATGTGATGTAGATGTATGTAATGTAATGTGATGTGATGAAATGTGATGTGATGTCATATCATGTTGTCATGTCATGTACTGCCATGTAATGTAATGTCATGTAATGTATATAATGTGACGTAATGTCATGTAACGTCATGTAGTGTCATGTGATGTAAGCTCCACCCCACTTCACCTGTGGCCCAGGTCCTAGGTGAGCCGACGCAGCACCCTGAACTGACGGGTCTCCCCTGCCTTCGGCAAGCTGCCCCAGAGAGAGGGCGAAGAGTAGCCACGCCATAAGCGGTCTGCTACAGGCTACAAAACTGTTTTACAAGCAACCATCTACTCAACTTTGTCTGAAGCAGGAGGGAATTGCGGCGAGAGGCGGAAGAGCTACGTCCAAGCTTCCAGCGCATTTGCAGTGATCCTCTCCGAGGTCCCAAAACCCAAAACCCTAAACCGATTCTCCAACTCGAAGAACCGCCAAACGGCCCTAGACCCTCACCGCCCCCCAAGCCAGCGCCAGAAGCACAAACACTGAACCCCGAGCCCTCACAACACCAAAACCCTTAACCAAACCAGGATCTCTTTAGTTAGTTATAGCAAGGAAAGGTATTGGTAGTTGTTCCGGCTTCTATTGCAGACTTTTGGGTTTCGGGTTTCGGGTATAGGAGGCAAAAAGAAAACCGGCCTTCATCCTAAATGCTCAACACCAACTATGTTCGGGTTGCTCTGTGCTGAGCCCAGAGCCTCCAAAACCCCTTAATTAAGGAATATACCTTAAATTATAGTAGGATCCCAAATATGATTTAAGGAATATTCCTTAATTAAGGGATATTGGAGTCTCTGGGAGAGCCCTCAGCCCAAACCCCCAAGCTCGGGGCTTCATGGCAAAGATCTGTCCCTCTGAAAATGCAGCGACCTGCCCACAGGGTTCAGGGTCAAGGTCAAGGATTCTAGCAAACCCTAAACCCCAAAACCCTAAGCCCTAAACCCTAAACCCAAAACCCTAAACCCTAAACCCTAAACCCTGAACCCCAGAAAGTTGGAACCTGGAGCAGGGATGATCAATGCTAGACTCCCGAACTTTAACATGGAACCTCGATAGTTAGAATAGGATGTTGAGGATATATTCTGGTATAGGTTGATGGGTAAGAGAAGAGGACAGTACGAGACATTGCTCATATCCCTAAACTGCAGGGGTCCGAAGAATCCGGCCCCAGTATAGTTACAGCTACACGATACACCAGGCAACCTTATTTTGATGAAGCTATGTTCTGGCGATTGCTGAGGATCTCAGGTTATGGGCTGACAGCTCTCCATCAGGCTCATGACACCTTTCGGTTGAGGGTTGAATATTTGGGAGTTTCCGAAAATAGGGGGCCCTAATAAAGTACCTTACTAACTAGTAGGATCCTTACTATAAGGACCCCGAAAAGAAGGTACCCCTAACTTCCGGCAACTCCCATTTAGAGCCAGAGCTTCGAGCCTGGGAGTTCGGGTTCAGGGTATACTTGAGTGTGTGGGGGGGGGGGGGGGGGGGTTGTGTTTCGCATTTAAGGATCCTAAACCCTAAACCCTATAAACCCTATAAACCCTATAAACCCTATAAAACCTATAAAACCTATAAAACCTAAACCCTGAACCCTAAACCCTCAACCCTAAACTTGTTGGGAACTTTGGGTTCGGGAGTTTTACATCTGGTATTTAGGCTTCCGAGGTTTTGCATTTTGCAGATTCAGATTTGGGGGCGCTGCATTTTTTGTGGTTGGGGAGATTTGAGAGCTCCTGCATAATGTAGGGGCCCTGATAATTAGAACAGGGCTTGGGCTGTTTTGGGGTATATTATACTACATTCATGATAAGAAACCCCCCCAAACAGTACAGGTAATCAATTACGTAGGCTCCTACAGGAACAAGCGCTCCTCGTACTACGGATCCTACTCTGATGTTGCGTTGATATCTGTGTGTTACACGTTATCAACATCAAACATCCTCGAAATAAGGATCCGACTATTTCGGGTCTATATTGAGAGTTGCGTAGCTTCAGACGCTTCCAATAAAGCAGACTCCCGGCGTTTCGGGAGATTCCGGATTCGTGGCGCTGCCGTAATCCTCTAAGCTACACTTGAAACCAGAGAGTCACAACAGTAAATGCACCATCTACAGTCGTAGTGTCACCGCAAGAAACCTCAAAACCCACGTAGAATTTCAACCCCTGAATGCTACACAGGAATCTGGGATGTCGCCTCAATCCTCAAAAGTACTTGTAAACTTGTAAGACACTTGGTTAGCATCAAACCCTTCATGGCCCGGAAAGAAATTGCTGAAAAGGGTGCTGAATAACCATCAGAAATCTGCTACAGCCCACATCCGACATCCTCTGAGTCCTGAAACCCTACATCCTAAAATCTACAGGAAACACCCGAACTTGCGCCCAGAGAGGCACCCACGAGGAGTTCCTCAGGCGCAGTCGTGTCGAGGTAAAGGATTCCTGGAGTGCCCAAACCCTACTTGGAGGTTCATGGGGAGTTATACGTGGGGGTTATAAGTAAGGCAACTGTAGTCAGAACCCATATTAAGGGACTTAAAACCCCCCACTTATAACTACCCATGAGCCTCCAAGTAAGGATCGAAGGACTCATCTCATCAGGCTACGAGGCGCAAAGACCAGACTAGAGGAGGTTTCTGGGCTATTTTGAGCCTTCCGGCCGAACTCCAAGGCCCCTCAAGCTAAGGGTTTAGGGTTTAGAGTTTAGGGTTTAGGGTTTAGGGAAGGGTGCTCTAGTTTTTCATTGGAGTTTCGGCTGTTTACAAAGGTTTTTCTGTTCAAGGGCTAAATCAGACTCGTTGATGAAGGACTATACCTGAGTTTTCCTGAAACTTCCCGGGTTTTGGAGTCTCCGGTCAGAGTGCATCAGAGCTTTTTGTCACTTCTAAACCTTGATCCCTCAAGCCACAAACTTTCCACCCTTAATGCCTATCAAAGCTTACAGTATCACTAAACCCTAAACCCTAAGTTCTAGGCTCGAAACTGCAGAGCCAGGCGGCTCGACAGGCTGCGCGAAGTGCGTACCTGGGGAGCGGAAAACACAGCCAGATCTGCTTGTACAATTGGGCTAAGCCCTAAACCCTAAACTCCAAACCGGCCGGATGTCAGAGTCGAGAGTTTCGGTTTTGGAGGACCACAATTCAAGGTTCATAGGTCAGAGTTCAGGTTCGGGATTAGAGGCTAGGGCATGCACGCCGGGAGTGCCTAGGGCAGCTACCAGTTCTGTCCTGATTCGGCGAGGTCTGACGCGCTACCTGTGGTCTGTTATAGTATATTATGGTATATTATAGTATGTTATAAAATATTGTCGTATAGTATAGTAAAGCACATCATAGTCAAAATACAGTATATTGCAGTATGGTATATTAGGTTTGGGGTCAGTTAGAGGAACGAGCACAGATCATAGCAGCAAGCGCAAGCTGACAAATGTGATTACAAAACTGCTGAGCAGCATTGGTAAAGACAGTAAGAAACAGCGGTGGGAAAGCCCACCAACACATCACCCAATCATACTTATAAGACCAACTCTAACCGTGTAGTTAAGCCGCATGCCTCAGGTTTTAGTATTTAGGGTTCTAGAATCTAGAAGTTTCGGCGGGGTTCAGGTCTGGGCTCTTGATATATCCCGCCCCAGGCTTTAATCCCAAAGTCTGTCCAGCATCTGGGCCCCGGACGAAGATGAAGTAGTAGCGGATAGTATGAGGTTACGTAAGTGCGTATCGGAGGAGGGCTGCAAACAGCTGCGGCGATCAGGACGCATTTCCGGAACAAGCTGCACACTCTCAAGTGGCAGCAAGCACGTCCCTGTCATGTCCCAAAACTGCACGCCACTGCGGACATATTGCGCTAATTAGGAACGAACAGAGCTTCTATGGACCCAGCACCGTTGGGGCTTGGTGCTTTTTCCCAGCGCAGCCCGCCAAATAGCTTCAAAACGCGAGTCTGCGGCTTCTGGTTGCGTCGACTGCTCAACAGCACTCTTACTTCTTCTTGCCACCGTCCATGGACGCGAAGGCGCGGTGGCGGCCGGTGGTCTTCGTGTGCTGACCGCGCACGCGGATGCCCCAGTAGTGACGGAGACCCCTGTGCAATCGCACGCGCTTCATGCGCTCAATGTCCTTAGGTTCACAGGTGAGGCATCACCAGAGTTCCTACTTGTGACAGAGAGCCGGCGCACCCTCTGCACCTGCATATTAAGTCCAGATCTACAATGCGTTCAGCCAGGCATCCTCACGCAGAGCCTGGTCCAAGAAGTTGGCATACTTCTGGCCTGTCTTGCCGTCCTTGACGTCCCGGTTGCGGTTGAGCATCCATGCCGGGATCTTGAACTCCAAGGGCTTGCTGACCACTGCGACGATCTTGTTCACCTCATCGGTCGTGAGCTCGCCTGCGCGCTTGTTCAGGTCGATGTCGCACTTCTTGCACACCTCAAACGGAACACGAAATTGCCATCTGGCACTGAATGGTGTATCGACGCATGCTAACTCTTGCGGCCAGGTTGCGATGTTAGAGATGCGCCGTCCAATGCCACGAATGGCGGTGAGCGCATACATCACCTGCCCGCCGTTTTGGGACAGCGCACAACATCCGCAACTGTCTCCACATTACCTTAACCCTGAAGAACCTGCCTTTTTAGGGTTCCTTGTTATGATTTCCTTATATGAATCCTTAAAAAAAATAGGTTCTTCAGGGTTAAGGTAGGTCCCACGAACGGATGGGTACAACAGACTTCTAACACCTGAACCCGAGACCGATATGGGAGTTTCCGAAAATGGGGGGGGTACCTTATTTTGGGGACCTTAGAATAAGGATCCTACTATTTAGGGTACTATCTTGGGGCTCCCCTATTTTCGGAAAGTCCCATATCCCAACCCCAAGCACCCAAATTCTGGGCCTCAACCCTGAACCTTCAACCTTAAACCCTAAATGGGTGGTTGTCGAAATTATGGCCCCCTTTTTTGGCACCTAATATTTTGGGCACCCAAAAAGGGACCCTAATTTTGACAACTACCCAAATCTTAAAGCCCTGACACCCCAAACCGTAAACGCAAAGCCTGAACCTGCGCTTGGAAACCCGGTAGCTGCCTTCTGGCGACCATCCACGTTGGTGTTGCACATACCTTGGAAAAAAGAAAGGGTTTAGGGTTTAGGGCCGGGTTCAAGTTTTGGCAAAGGGCTTCTACCCCTGGCAGTAGCAGTTACGTCAAAGGGACTTGTGCAGGCACATGAGAGACTACACATTCCCT